GCTTAAATGGGTACCTAACTCAGGCTTTTGTATATGGCTTTGCATTGGTAGCTATATACTAGCCCCTATTGTTGTAATGAAAGGGGGGGTGGTTCAAGGAGAACACCCTACATACTATCCAGTGAAGAACTCTTTGTCTCTGCTCAGGAATATTCGATCATCTCTCTAAACAGTCGATTCGCATCGTTGAGTATAAAAGAAAAGAAACGATATGACTGTCTAACATGGCAAGACAAGAATCCTTTCAGGTGATCGTTCCCCCTTTTTCTCTGGAAGATAATAGGGGTCCCCCTAATGAGCATGAAAGGGTCATCCCAGACGTTGAAAGCAAGTATAATAGCAGACATAAAGTGCTTTTACAGTAGATAAATGACAGTGTATATGAAGGAACGATCCAGGTCGTCTAAGCACACGTCTAATCTTAGTAGCCCTATACATGTTCATACTGGAGTACGCCAAACAGATGACAATAAACAGTGAGTTGAGTATGACGAAAGATGAAACCATAATAATGCTCCCCTAAAATATAGACATATAAACGCCAAGTCGTCAATGGGAGTAATGCTGTTTGTGACGTCAAAGTCCTAAGTTAGAGACTTGACAGTCAGACATCCACCGTCTTAAGACGTGCTCATAAACAGCCTTGGCCTAAGAGAAACAACAGCACCAAGAACTCCGCAGGTGGTCAACGCGCCAAAACCATGAAAAATTGAGTGTATCCTTGTCATATATACAGGATCTCTTAAAAGCTAGCTGCAAAATCATTAGGAGACATGCGTATACGAGATGGCTAAGAAAGTTACGCAGTGTTGAGTATCTTACCTGCACCGCCCTCAATACTACCAGACTTAAGGGACCTTATTTATATTCGTCTCTTGGAGTAGTATGCAGTATCTGTCACGTAGTCGTGGATTGTTGATCATCAGGGCTAGGTGGATTCGGTGTTGGAGGTTCTGGTTGTGGAGGCGGGTTGGGTTTGTGGTTTAGACAGTGCCATGTATCCTTTTCGTTAGCCGCCAATGAAAGGGCCTGTTCAAGCCTAGGCTGCCCCCTGTTCGAGTAGAAGAACATTATGTTCGTAATTTTTGATCAAGGAATCTAACCTAGAGATATATTGTCCTTTGAGCGTCGATAAGTAGCGGTGGCGACGATGATGATGCTATGTAACCAGATTTTCGGTGTCAATCTTTCTTGAGGAAGTATAATTTCGAGGATAGAAAGGAAACCAGCCCTTTAAAATGCTCCGTGGTCACTTAGAGCCTATCCTCTTTAGAACCAATCCCCACCCCAACCTCTGGGCCGACACAGCTCTAGGTTCTTAATAACCATTGGGCAGGTCTATAATGTCGAAGTGTCACGCCTTCCTTTCTAGCATATAGGTAGTCAACAGATGCACGTCAAGTCCCCTATAGGAGATTTTACCGACCCACACACGTGGTGATAGATCGACACTGAATCCTCCTCACGGTTTGGCTCGGTTAGGTGATGGTGTCTTCATCTCAAGGACAACTTCAAAGACTACTGGCGGGTGACGCCCCAGTGCATAGGTTCCCGGTCATAACCGCGTAAGCCGCTTTCTTTTGCCTTGCTATTCTTGATAAAAAGCTAACGGGCAGGGGTTCCAAACGACCGGTGCAACCTCGTAGCTTCTAAATCAAGGTCACCACGACCACAGCTCATTAGGAAAATTGTGACAGTGCACGTATGCCTCCCACGCCGCTGACCTTATTGCAACCATCCTATAATAGAGGTCCGGTGACGTTTGGAGGGTTACGGCATATGTATAACAAAAGGCTGATATCAGCGAATCGTGAGCCAGGTTCCACCTGATTCGAATGCGTCCATAGGATTTTTTTTGGCGACAACTAAACCACTCAGTCAGAGGCTAGCTTAGATTGGTTGGAGATGCCCATCTAGCAAGTTTCGGAGAACCGAAGCCGTGCCCCAGATGAGTGAGCAGAGACTCCAGGGTCTGGGCGCAGCAACAACCTGGATGGACGGGCAATATCGCCATCTGTGTACTACATCGGCCACGGCGAACCTGACTGACTGACTATTTAGCCCAGAGTAGCCCAGAGTAGCCCAGAGTAGCCTGGCCTTATGCCATGCCAAGTCGTGTATGTTTCAGAATAACAATTTGACCGGACCCTCGCAAGATCGCCAGGGCCAATGCGCGTCCTGTGTGCTACAGGACATCCCGGTATCGCATCGCGGCAGCGCGGGAGGTCTCGCTAGGCTCTGCACGCCAGGCGGGTAGTCTAATATCGAATCAGCCGCATCCCGGGGAATTGGCCGTCAGAGTTAGACGAAGCGGCCTGTCTTCTAGAACCCTTCTCTACCTGAGTCTAGGTAGACTTATAAAGCTCTTAGCTGCTCCTAGTTCAAGTCGTCGACAGCTACTTGCCGTGCTGGAATTCATCCGGACGTAGCACAGCATGACGCACTCGTTTCCAATTTCCAAAGGGATAATTCACCTTATCCCTTATCCTAGTTAACTCGGCTAGGTAACCCGGAGCTCTTCAAGTGCGGACATGGGGATAATCGACCTAGCTAGCATGGAGGAGCATAAGAGGGTCTGAGACCTTGGAATTTGTTAAGCGCTATTGTTGGTCGAGTCGGCAATTCCGCAAGTAACTAAGTGTCACATAAGATAAGTCACATAAGATAGGTCCACGGGTATCTCAGTAATGGCTTAAGAAGAAGTAGATAAGTACCGGTATATGTGCGATCAATGTATAGGTATGTAGGTATGTATGTATGTATGTACGATGTATCTTGTAGGTATCACAAAGACCTATCGTCATGAGTCATGTTTGCATTTACATGCACTTGTATGTACCTAAGTACATTGAATGTGGGTAGTAAAAGTGGAGATATTCATGGGGGTCAACGGGCAATTCGGTTAACCCTTCTTGCCCTTTCTGCGCATTTGAGCAGTTAAACTAGTCTCTATTAGATCCAATGGATCGATTCGGATAGAAAGACCTGCAAGACCCACAAACCTCAACCCAGCTTGCGCGTTTGGAGATACATATGTACATACATTGTGGCTCACCTCGGCGGGGGATGATCCACATGTCATGAATTGTGCGTCTACCTATGTACATATTTGTGTACCTACATACATCCCAACACAGAGATAACTACATGTACCTAGAAGAGGTACATAGGTACTGTCTTCATAAATTGTTTGGTGTTCGGTAAGTATACCTGTTGAGGTCTAGGTATTTCCCTGCAGACCTATGACTATATCAAGCTAGACTCATTCTTGGAGGATTCGTTGCCCACTTCGGGCGATACAGGGTTTATGATAGGCTTTAAGATATTACACGCTACGATTGAACTGACCAATCCCAATCCCGCAACCCCTCCATCTTTTACCGCATTTACATACCTACATAGTAGTCCCGCACTAAGACTCGCTAAACCGTTATGTACCTAACGTAGGTAACCGAAAGCGTAGGGCTGCGTTATAATTCAAGCAACTAGACAAACTCCGGAAAATCGAGTCTACCTAGGTAAGTTAGAATATCTAAGATCACTTGCGTGCCTCGGTTTGAGCGTATATAATCGACCCTTGATGGTTTTAGCGCAAAAAGAACCCCTCTAATACAGAGAAGTGACGCCACTACCGATAGGAAAATGGACATCTTCCAATTCTCCATCGAATACTCTATATCTCTAATATCTCACAATCTAAAACCCGGCGACTGAGATCCTGATACGTGCACAAGCACACAAACTACTATAGCACCTCGCTCCGGATTCGAAAAGGACTTACTACTCCTTTTGGCTATCAGGGACCTAAAGCGGAAAACCGAGGACTAAAGCATCATCGCGATGGCACCGCTTACTCCACACTGGGACCAGCCCTCGCATCCTGACATCCAAGATGTGATCATCAACGCGCATGAATTCACATCTAAAAGCCTGTCAAAAATCTCCCTGCCTCCTTTCGGCCTATATGCAAAATTGGACTTTCCTCCGTGCACCTTCGTCGAGTCCCCGACCTATGCCACAGTCCAGTGCGGCCGGGACAAGCACCTGGATCTGAACAGCGACCTGCTGTACATCAACCACTCATGCGAGCCGTCTCTCATCTTCGACACGGCTAACTTGAACGTTATCGCGGGCCCGAACGGCCTCAAGGCCGGGGAAGAACTGACCGTCCGTCACCTACATAGCTACACTCGGTAAGCCCGTATCTAGCGTCCCGCAAGAGCTTACCTCTGCCATAGTTCTTCTACCCGTCCACAGAATGGAACATGGCCCAGCCCTTCGACTGCCTGTGCGGTAAGCCCACGTGCCGCGGGCGTATTAGCGGCGCGAGGGACATGGCCAAGTCACAGCTCGAGGGCGTCTGGCTGAACGGTCACATCCTCCAGCTCCTCGAGGAGCGAGATCTCCGTAATGCGAGTATCGGCAAGGAAACTGATCCTGAAAATGGCACTAGTACTTTAGCCGGTCGTCATCCCTCGACGGAAGTAGAAACCCCTGAGGATCTCACTACTCAAGCGTTGAGAGATGCCTTGAAGCATGCCGAAAAGGTCGTTGAAGCCGCCAGAAGCGCTCTACAATCGTACCTTGGTCCAAGGGCATTATTTACTCACAACGGAGAAGTCCGTGTGGAGAGGGGCAACACGGAAGCCAGCGGATTAGCTAACCTCGGTAGAGCTAATACTGCCTTAGTCTCTGGCCTAACGAGACGCGGCATCACATCACGAGAATTGAGCGGCGAGATGGGCGGAGATACTATTGCAGTTTCAGGCTCGTAAAGGACAAGTCATGTCCTTTAAGTTGTTTAGTTCGGTTGCTTCTCTTTTCGAATTCAACATTCTCGTCTTTAAGTCAGCTCTCAACAGCCTGGCCTGTTTTGAAAGATAGCACTCACCCAATGCCCCGGTTAGAAACGGGGCAAAACGCTCCCTAGAGATATATATTGGTTATAGTACAGCTGCATCAACTAGCAAGACTCCAATACAAACCTACCAAGTTCTAGTCTAACAGATCCACAACGCGTAAACTCCATGCTATCGTGGGCATTTGGCCACGGCCAATACACTCGAGCCCAAATATACATCCATTGCCACCCGTACATATCATCAATGCCTCGTATATACTCAATCAGTCCTCTCCGTTCTCATCGTCACCCCAGCGAAGCCAACTAGATCCCCGTCCTCCAGATTCACTTCCTACACCTCCAGCATATTTACTCTCCTCTTCCTCCCATTTAAGCCTCTCCACCCTAGAACGTGCTAGGAACGCCTTAGCAAATCGCCAGGCCTCTGTGTCCGCTAGATTCCAGGCTTCAATAGCACTCCGTACACGTTCGTCCTCTTGAACCTTGCTCTTCATCACTTCCCGCGCCCTATTTAAAAGGCTCGGCTCACGCAAGAGGTCATCATCAGAGGCGATCGGTCCATCTGCCGGATCGTGCTGTGGTTTCGGACGACGCTCCGGGCCTGGAACCGGAGTCTCCGACTTCCCGTCGTCGGTCATGTTACTCGGGATTTCGAAACCGAACCACCAATCTAGGTCATCCGGAAGTGATTCTTTCTCGGCCGTCAACCAGAGGGAGTGTGACGCTGCGTACTCACCAGCCACAGCATCCTTAAATTTAAGTACGCGCACCGATCCGGGTATGCCCGTGCCCAGGAGCTCCTGGAAGACGAGGTAGAGCCATTCGTCACGTCTTTTGATCTCTCGCCTAATATAAGCAATATCCAGATTATTTCGGAGCGTGTCTAACGTGCGCAGTGTATACGGGTGTGGTACTGTTCCTATAGTATACAAGTCCGTATTGTTCCTATAACGCGCCGGGGTCGAAATCTTCATAGGATGAGAGGACACACAAGGCGAGCACTTTGGAAGATTTGGCGGGCACGATGCCGGCATTGGACTATCACTACAGATCGCGAGTCTAGTTGCTAGGTCTAAGGCTTGCTCGATCATGTGCGTAGTGTGAGTTGGCATAGGCTTGAGGACTGCTATACCGCTGCCAAAAATATCTTGCCAGGTATTATGTAGATGAAAGTTAATAAGGCCGTTTAAGCTCTTCATGCCCTTATCACGATCTGCTGCGACTTCTTCTGCGATCTTTTGGTAGGTCTTCTCGATAGTCTTAGTATCGTAAAATGCTAGCGAATCATGAGACGGATCAACGCGGAAAGTTTCGCTGCTAACCGCAGAAACCACGTCTTTAGCGGATTTATTCTTGGGGTCTCGGAGCGCTTGAACAATGGTGTCGGCGATTTGAACTTTGGGACCAGCGAATAAAGCATTATCAATATCCTCCCACCTCGTTAAGCCCGGATACTCTCCCCTTCGTAGAAATGAGAGTAAAGAGTCCTCGTAGGCCGCCATGGGGAGTAACAGATAATGTGCGAGAAGTCCGCCGCCCATATTCTCCCATGCAAGCCAGCGCATCATGTCTTTCTTAAAACTCGGCTCCACGTCCAATCTCTGAAGCTCGTCATAAAGCGGATTATTCATAGCCTCTGCCGCGCTCAGGATGATTGGCTTAAACCCCTTAGCCCACCAGGCGCGTCTCCATGTCAACAATAGCGCGCTATCAGCCTCCTTTGTAGATGCATCCCGCTGAACAGTGGTATCGTAGTAGCAATAAATAGGAGCCCTTTCCTTCAGAGGTGGGAGGAGAGATCGATTCTCGTCCAACGTGATAGACGAAGAAAAGGGATTCCTCCAGTTCCAATTTGAATACCATGAGCTTTCCCCATATGTTGAGTTCTTCTGTTCCGCAGGCTTGTGAAAAGCCGGTCGGAAGGGGTTCAATATACTTGACGAAAGCTTATCCTTGTATTTCGGTATGGAGAATTTATGATCGGCAATCGACTTTGAAAGACTTGGCCCAGTCGGTATTGAATTGGGCAGTGTAAAAAGGAGGGTGAACAGGGCGAATAAGCCGAGGAGGACGAGGAGGAATGAGATTCGTCGTGGACCTATTCGTAGCCCTAAGGCCGAACCGTGGCCCCTCATATTGCAGTTGAGGATACGATGCAAAGGTTTATCGGCCAGAAAAAGTAACAAGCTAACCTAGTCAAGAGAAGGTCAAATCGTTATAGAATTGAGCGCAAGCTGCGCGATTATACTTGAACACGGGTTGGTGAGGCTACGCGTGCCAGCATGGATTCTAATAGGTATCTCGAACAAAGGAATGGAAGGAATTGGAAAAATTGCAAAACTTGAACTATTAAACTAAAGTTATTTCATGACTTCCTAAGGTCCTTGCGCAAAAAAAATCGCGATCCTATCTCGCGTCCGGACATCCCCTATAATAACGAAGAAGGGAATGTTGAAATGTTTCGAGGAAACTTTGGAAGTAAACCGGTCGAGTTACGCAACTTGCATAGATCGCTGTATCCCTATTAAGAGTTTCCACATTGGTGGGGGAATACCTATGATAGGTACCTATCAAGGCAGGAGCCATCATGGAATCATGGATAGGTATGGGTACCTATGTGGCTGGTGGTTGTGGCGTAGTATCTAAGTCACGACATCGAGCAAGCAGCCCGTTCTGTAAACCACATCCAATAAACCCCTTTATTACCTAAAGTACTAAGTTAATATTTTTATAAATATTCTTCATAATTCTAGAGCATATATCATTGCTATGAAAATATTCATTTAACTAAAGCGATGAACTCCCTAAGTTCAATTCACCAAGTTAAATCATAACACCCCCTTTCCCACTTACTCAGCATAGGAGACATGATGCTAAGAAAATATTTGTTAAATACATACCTGCCTACCTATAAGTACACTTAGACCTCAGATTTCCGGAATATTCAGGCTCGGATTTAGAGAGGTAGTCGCCAGGTAGCAGGTCCATATAAGGAGGTCATCCCTCCCAATATCCTTGGCAGCTTTGTAGGTTGGAACGATGACTAGCACCTATATACCACAAGCTGGCCACCTGCCTCTGATTTAATGCATCCAAGTTCCCTGTCATACTACCTATTTATATATTCGAGCCGGGTATTTATAGTATATAAACCGCTACACTCTCGATTCAAGAAAAGCGTATTTCCAGTCTCAGTAGAACTCATGGCACATCCGCAACTTATTCACATTCGTATGAGATTCAGCCAGAATTAACAGCTTTCATGCTATTTACACTAAGATTTCTCCCTATTGGATCGCAAAGGCTGCCTCTCATCTTCCCAGGCGGATTCGGGCCTGCAAAGTTTCTATATATACCCTCTCAGGAATCTCCTTACAAACCACCTCTCCCCGGACTCACTCTACATCTCACATGATTCACCAACTTCCACTATAGACAACTACCTACACCCCACGCCACCACTACTAGCTAGTGTGAAAGCCTTATACAGAGTAAGAGCCGTCGGCCATGAGACCCTCCTATTATCTCTACGTAATTACCACAGGCTAGGCCGGAGTGGCAATTTTGACCCAATTTATTCATATCCCCCACACATAGGACCTTTAAGTATCGCCATACAACCTAATCACTACTTGATCGTCGACCTTTCCGCGTATAAAAACAGATCCACACCTTCTTAATCAACCATAAACCGCCAAATCAAGTTTATTATACTTCTTAAGGAACAATAAGTCGGCAGTATTAGCATTTCAACCCACGCTTTCCTTCCATGAGTTAACACAAGCCAGATTCATAATATATATAAATAGAACGACGCATGATTTACCATTATATACCTCAAATCATCTTTCATCCAATATAGGCCAACATGGCGGGCCTTCTAAATGGTGCTGCCTTATCTGCAATAGAAAGCATTATCAAGGAGCAAGTAGAATCGAAGCTTTTAAATCTCGATCCCGATCAAGTAATTAAAACCCTACTACGAAGGCAAGACAGCGAAGATCTTCGCCAGAGAATACTCAGCCAGCTAGATAAAGACGGCCTAATGGATATGATCGAAGCGAGGGAGGACTCTAACACTATCTATGTGGATATACTGAAGAGGATTCTATCCAAGGTACCCACGCCGAGCCATATTGAGCAGGAGCATTCCAGAAACAACACTTCAATTAGCGAAGCGGATCCCCCAGAAGCCAACATCAATGCTGTCCAGACATCCCCGTCTAACGAATTAACTGTGCCCCAGGCAATACAAATCCCCGGTGAGAAGGGGCATTCCTTCGTAAGCTCTCCAAAGTATTCTAATACCGATATGTCGGCTGGATCTGCAGACCATATATTCGCGGCTGAGGAGAACAGTGATAGTAATATCTATGACTACACTGCATCTGGCTTGGCATTCGAGCCTCAAATACCTCACCTAGATGCGTGGGTCCCGATGTTCATGAGCGAAGACGAATTCTACCGCAGTGGACCAAGTGTCGAAGAAATTCGGTCAACGGTGGATATGGGAGGGATATCCGATCGCTTCTTCATATTCATCAAGCTATTAAACCCACCCTATCTATGCTGTCGTGCTGAGCAATATATACGTTGGGCAGGATCAGATCGTACATATGTCCTCCCTAAATTAGACACTACACCAGACATAGTAAAGGCGTGGAATAAGGCAACCAATCCACGAATAAGCTATATAGCTAAGGCATTGGTAGCTGTCAAATGCTACGAGAAGTCTATAGAAGTGAAAAATACCAACTATCATGAGCACCAGTCTTCAGCTGATTCTTCGACTGATTCAAAATCCATTGAGAAGGATACATCCCAATGCATACTCCCGGAGCTCCTTCGGGCGGAACCAAAGAAAACACATGTCAATGAACAAAAATGGCCAAATATAATTGAGTATGGAAAGAGACTTTCATCTCTCTTGGAAGATTTCGGAGGGCAGCCATTTCTCTCTCTGTTCCCCTTATCAGAGCTCAATTGGCACATAGGCTATAAGGCATTAGTCAATGATGAAGCCATCCAGCACGTTTGGGAGCCCCTGAACACCTTCATGAAACAAACAGGGTTAGGCCAGTTTTTCCGTTCATTATCGCACGCAGTTGGTGACATACTGCATCGCAAATTTCTAGGGGAAGATACCTCATCCTTTGACTTCAGGGATCGGTTGGCGTTAGTCTTTGACGAGTATTCTTTAAAAGGGATACTTTCGTGCTCCCCACGACCGAGTTTATTACCCTTGTCTATCGCACCAAGTTTGGCATCGCTTGTCTATTGCGGACGAGTGACAAGCCTTACACAGCTAAATTCGGAGTCATCACTCTCGCCGAAATCGTTGCTTGGACTTGTGGACGGAGTATTAGATGAAGATATAATTCGGCATTTGATACAGCAGAGATTGCCAAATGACTGGGCTATCCTAGGGAGAAGCGAGATGTCGAAAGTTGCAAGTGAGGACTTGTTACTACACAGCTTCCGAGGAATTATCATTCCCCTATGCATAGACGATGGATGGGTTCTTATCTGCTATGAAAACCCAAGGCATACCAAGGTTTCCTATCCCATTACAATTATCAATCCCACAACCAGTGATTACAGATTCCAAGCAGTTCTATATTTACTTTCGAAATGGATACCGGAGCGGGAGGATTGGATTCCCAAGGACATCACGGTACAACACGCCAAGAACGTCAAATACCAAGCAGCATGTGAGAGAGATAGCGGAGTACATATTGTGCTCAGTGCAATAGCTATGGCTAATTCAGGGGTTCCAGAGACTCGACCACTAGATAGGAAAGTGTGTAGGGCACTCTGTATGAGATATTTTATTACCACGCTGAACGAAGTGCAGCAAGCGGTTTCCAAAGCAGCCAGAAAGCGTGCTGGGGAGGGTAGAGTTTAGATTATGATCGATGGTAGAAGATATCCTTTGGATCTACATATGTTAAATTGATCGTGGTACTGCGTTTTCTATTCAATATAATCTCGAATGATTTATCCTATTAACAAGCCTAAAGTAGCACTATAAAGCTATTTATATATAACATATAGCATTTTAATATTGAGTAAAGTAGTAGCCCGAGTATTTAAGGGAGTAAGGTAACACAGAAGGCTTAAGCTTATAATATATATTTCTCCTATTCCCTTTTATTAAATAGGGTATTTTATTTGGTGCTTCCTAGAATTATGGTACATACTACACAGTAATATGATCAAGGAGACCATATATGGAACATCCTACTTAAGGTGTTGAAGGATGATATAGGAAAACGCCTTTATTCCAAGATGAGACATGTTAGACTTATTGATGACGGATTCGCGAATCGCCTTTGAATGCTTGTTAATTTAGGGTTATGGCATATTTACTGGCAATTAGAACAGAAACAATGTAGATTAATATACATTTAGAATTGAGCATAGCATAAGAATTGAGTCTCTCATACCTTAGGTTAGGAGGTGGTAGGTAGAGAGTATGGCTTTTAGATGCAACGATTCGACGTTAAGAACTTCAAATAGGGGGGAGGGCATGGGTTACATAAAAGTACTTAGGTCCTTAGGTACTTAGGTACTTGTCTTTTTCAGATATGGTCACGTGGGATTTTGACAGCCCACAACACTGAAGCGAACTTTACAAAATTTAATTGTTTCGGCCCCTCCACCTTCACACATCAACTACAACTGCAACGCCAACATTACAAATCAGACAAAATGGCTCCCGCAGCGACTGGTGCGAAGAAGCAGAAGAAGAAGTGGTCGAAGTATGTATTGTATACGATGAATTGATTTTAGAGGACATCTGGCTAACTTTTATACTACAGGGGCAAAGGCAAGTACTACTACGCAATTTCGCGATGAGCGTCGTTCGAGAAGCGATTACACCATCTCTCGCGCGATGAGTCTCGGGGTATTTTGGGCTGACCTGTTTTTAATATAGTCAAGGACAAGGCCCAGCACGCCGTCTTGCTCGACAAGACCACTTCCGAGAAGCTCTACAAGGATGTTCAATCATACCGTCTCGTCACAGTCGCCACCCTCGTCGATAGGCTAAAGATCAACGGTTCGCTGGCACGAAAATGCCTGAAGGATCTTGAGGAGAAGGGTCAGATCAAGCCCATTGTCACCCACAGCAAGATGAAGATCTACAGTATGTTTAGGATAGCCTAGAAGAAGGAAAGCCATATGCTAATCTCGTTTGCAGCCCGAGCTGTCGGTGCCGCGGACTAAACCATCACTCTCACGATACCACGATGAAGATGATATTCGGCCGACAGTCGACAATAGAGTTTGACGGGCTAGATGGATCGCGGATACGGCTTTGATGGATTCAGGCATTTGGTCCTCGGCGTAGCATTGGGACGGTTATGGTTCGGAATTTCGCTTGCAGTTGCATTCAGATAGGGACCGAATGAGAAAACCCGATGAATCTGCGTATATACTTTCGTCTGATTTGCGTGCTGTCGACCGCTGTGTTATAAACATTCTTGTTGTCTACGCGTATGGTAGTAATTTCAGGCCTACGATGTCTTCTAACCCCCAATCCCCAGCAAAGAAAACGTGGTTCTTTATAAACATGAACCAGTCGAATTTATAGGAAAACTGACGGCTGATAGTCTGCTGACCTTGGAACCTTGGGTACCTATTAAAGTCGTGGAGAAGTTTGTGATGTATATTTGGTAGCGCAAACAGATGTATCAGCAGGCGCCATTTCAACTAGGAGGGAATTACATATACACTACCTAGAATTTCCATATGCATTGGAAACACCCAGGTACCTAATAGGTACCTAGGTAGGTTACACAGTCGGGGAGAAGGGTGGGGAGAGAGTTGTTGGCTAAGCCAGTATAGGTTGCTCTATCACAAAACCTATTAAGCCCTAATAATATACCTAATTAATAATATACCTAATCGAAAATATTATAAGTATTATAAGTGAGCGTCATATACAAATCGAGCTAGAAGCATTCCGCCTCATAAGTCGGTCTGTACGTAATCAAGTTTCTATAATGATGGCACATAGATAAATCCCCGATCTTCGCCCAATAAAAAATGAAATCTGATTAATCTCTACAGCACATCTAGGTCATCCGAAATGCGGCGTGGGTACTACTTGGGCATGTGTTAGGTACCGTGTGTACAAAGAGGTTGCAACCAAAGTTGCAGCCGACCAGCCAAGGCCAAGGGACCACCGCTTTTTGAGCCGGAAACTTGACTCGGGGAACGGGAAGAAGATCAAAGAGACCCCTGAACGCTGAACGCTGAACGCATATGGGTGAACACCCTGACTCTCTTTTACCGACGCTCGGAATTTAGCTAGCCAAAACTCTCAAAATCTAGATGTGATCTGCACAGTGCACACTAACTAATAGAGCGCAGTTTTTTTTTGTGTGTGCTCTTACCTTATTACGTTGATTCGTGATATATAACAAAGATTAGGTACATAGTCCACGACGAAGATCTAGATGATGAGAAATGAAGGACAGATATACACCTATCAACCAACTACATAGGATGAAGCATCAAAGAGTAAGCAGAAACTACCTAGGTACCTAGGGTAAATAGCTCGCATCTGATCTCCAGGTGAGACTCCACGTCCAGGTGATGAGGATCCTTTGGCCTGAATTGGCCGTCCCGAAATTGTCCGGCAGAAAGTTAGCGGTAGGTCAAGTTTTCGCTGGACATCCATTTTATGGCAGGCGCCTAGCTGCCAGGCTGCCCAAGCAAGTGCAGGTTACTTTCACTGCTCCAGCGGACATTTAGTGGTTACTTCAGTGAGTTTTTAGCATACTAGATCCATAATTGCACGTGACATATACTGGTCTCGGGGCAACCGCCAGTTTAGAAAGCGAGGGAAGGGTCTCAGTGCAGTTTTAGCAGCGGGTCCGGGAAGAGTCGCTAGAAAAAGCTGGTCCATTTGGCAGTTACCCGCAGCAATTTTTTTTTCCCTCCCCCCAAAATATTTTCTGCAGACCCAGTCGCAGTAGAAATATTTCGCTCGACGCTCTCCGTCTTTCAACTCCTCTCTATCTTCTCCTCGTTTACTTCTAATCTCCACTCACTCCTTCTCCTTTCAAAGATCAGGAAGTCTTTGAACAGCCGACAAGATGACTGAGAAACAGAAGGTTTTGGGCATGCCGGTAAGTTATAATTCCACAACTATCAAATCCCTCGCTCGGACAACGAGCATTGGCCTCCTCTCCACCACCATCTAGCCATCAATACCTCTCGCGCATACCATCGACGGCTTCAATTGCTTTCTACGAGACAATTGAAGCGGTTTTCGAGCTATTTCGAAATGGTGTGCTGCTTATCGGGATGATATCTGGCACAAATGGCTGGAAAAGAGAGTCCTTGGATTTTTTGCACCTTTGCCCTCACTATCTATCTCAGCAATGAACTTAACTAACGGACACCGCAGCCCTTCTTGGCAGACTTCTTGAGTACGTCACTGCTTTTGCAATTAAATCCAACCGGCATCCCCGCCAATATGTCGATATTCGATGCCGCGTGATATTGGTTGTCATGCGCGATAATTGTTGCTAACTGGTTAATTAGTGGGTGGTGTCTCTGCCGCCGTCTCGAAGACTGCCGCCGCTCCCATCGAGCGTGTCAAGCTTCTTATCCAGAACCAGGTACGTTGATACGTAGAGCACATTCAGCCGCAAAAAATTCCCCATTGGAGCCATGTAACTTTGGCTCCACAATACGTATATGTGTCTTCACATGTCTATTTGGCGGCACAGGGCTGGATTCCCTTCGCAGTAATGACGGCGCTAACAGACTGAACAGGATGAGATGTTGAAGACTGGCCGTCTAGACCGCAAGTACAACGGTATCGCCGACTGCTTTAAACGAACTACCGCCGATGAGGGTGTTATGTCCCTATGGCGTGGTAACACTGCCAATGTTATCCGATACTTCCCCACTCAGGCCTTGAACTTCGCTTTCCGTGACAAGTTCAAGAAGATGTTCGGCTTCAAGAAGGAGCGCGACGGATACGCCTGGTGGATGGCTGGCAACTTGGCCTCCGGTGGTGTAAGTTTCATTGAAGACTCTAAATTTGGGCTACGGATGCTGATATTTATATGTTAAGGCTGCTGGTGCCACTTCGCTCCTTTTCGTCTACTCTCTCGATTACGCCCGTACCCGTCTGGCCAACGATGCCAAGAACGCTAAGAAGGGCGGTGAGCGTCAATTCAACGGTCTTGTTGACGTCTACCGAAAGACCCTCGCCTCTGACGGTCTTCCCGGTCTGTACCGTGGCTTCATGCCTTCGGTCGCTGGTATCGTCGTCTACCGTGGTCTTTACTTCGGTCTGTACGACTCGATCAAGCCCGTCGTCCTGACCGGCACTCTTCAGAACAACTTCCTCGCCTCTTTCATCCTCGGTTGGTGTGTCACCACCGCTGCCGGTATCGCCTCTTACCCTCTTGACACTATCCGACGTCGTATGATGATGACCTCCGGTGAGGCCGTCAAGTACAACGGTACCTTGGATGCTGCCCGCCAGATCATCGCCAAGGAGGGTGTCAAGTCTCTGTTCAAGGGTGCTGGCGCCAACATTCTCCGTGGTGTTGCCGGTGCCGGTGTGCTGTCGATCTACGATCAGCTCCAGGTTCTCCTCTTCGGAAAGGCCTTCAAGGGTGGTTCCGGTTAAATTCCCTCATACCTCATAGACGGGAGAGGCGTGGTGGTGTAATACGGTGGATAGGCGACAAAGGGCCGTTGATAAAAAGGAGCGTGGCGGACGCTCCGGTGGAAAGTTGTTACAGGGCATCACTCATTGCCGTGGCGTTCTGGAACAGCTTGATTTTGCGGATTTTACTGGCAGACAGGGCACACATGTCTCGCATCGTCTTGTCAGCTAGTTGTCCGCTGTAATTTAGATCCTAGGCAATTCCTTTGACTGTATTCTTTCTGCTTTGCGTCCTACATCCCCATTCCTCGACGGTTACGTGGACCTGGCTCTTTCGGTTGCATACAACTCATAGACTTCTGAATGCAGGTGATCCTTTGAACTAGTACCCTATGTATTACTTGTATGTGATGTGTGAATGTAAATTTTTGTTTCGTAGACAAACCGGTATAGTTACGATGATAATTTTACTGTAACCCATTTCTATGCGGCAGAGGAAGTGATTTGGGTAGGTAGTTGAAATGGACATTGCAATTGAAGACAGGGGGACAGGGGGACAGGGGGACAGGGGGACAGGGGGCAGGTGGCAAGCAGCTGTATCAAATCGCGGTGTACGGAGTTTTGCAAAACTTAAATAATGTTTGTAGAGCGTTGCTCACTTTTATACCCCAGCGTGCACCTCTTTAGATCTACCTACTGTTGTTTGACCTTAGGTACCTACCCTAAACACTTGCAAGAGCCGGATTGGACAATGCCCCCAAAGCAATCTGCAAGCAACGCTCACGGCCGAGGCTCTTCTGGACCGGCCAAGGGTTGGGCTTCCGCCTCTTCTACTTCTGGTCCTTCCCGAGCGCGCAAGCAAGCCCAAGCCACCGCTTCGGACGCGAGCGACGCGGATCCGTTTGCGGAGGACGAGCAGCCGCAGCAGCGACGAAGGGCGCAAGATACGATGGACCTCGACGAAGACGAAGCGGAAGAAGAAGAGGAGAGGAAGACGATACCACCGGAGCTGCTGACACATGTGCTGCATCAGTTCTTCGAGAAGGACGGCACGAGGGTCTCGAAGGATGCGAATGCGGCCATTGCGAAATACATGGATATTTTCGTGCGGGAGGCGATTGCGCGGACTGTCGTGGAGAAAGAGAAGGGGTTTCTCGAGGTAAGTTCGTTCGTTCGTCTGGTGCGTATTAGTGTTCTGGGCGATGTGATGCTAATGGTAGATTAGGTGGAGGATCTGGAGAAGATCGCGCCGCAGTTACTGCTTGATCTTTAAGGGCTGCGGGTAGGATATTTGTATTGATCTAGTGCAGATGATCTGTGACGGGATTATGATCTGTGACGATGAAGGTGGTATGGACCGGCAAGTATGTATGCTTGTATGAACCATTCCTCCAGATCGATCTACAAAGCCGCCGTCACAGAGATCTTGGCGTTTCTTCTGCCAGCCAAGCTTTTCGGGCTGATAGTAGCTGGCTGAGCACATCGTTCTCGAAGCCTCGTAGATTATGTAGAAACACGCCGTACTGTTGAGACCAAGTAACCTAGGCGGCATCCTCCTCCACGGCTTATGTCCTCATTCTACATATTCTACCCCTTAGATGATAGTGCCGTCTATCTATTCTACAACCCTTTTGCTAAAGGGCACGATGTCAAGGACAGCTTTGCTCTGGACATTGACAGATAGCTTGACTTACAACCAGTCGAGAAGATGCTAGCTGAATAGGGATATCTTTTCGCTCGCAGGCATTTTAAAACATCAAACTCGTGAAATAAGGAATCTCAAAGCGGGAGCCACAATTTGTTTCGAATGCCTTACGCGGAATTCAGAAACGCTTCACCGCAGCAAGACGCATATGAAATTCTCGATTCCAATATTTTTTGTCTTTAGCGTTTCGGCCCCTGAGAGAGAAGCTTTGAAGATTACTAGGTTAGGTTAGTGTATGTAAAGGGCTTTAATGAGGTTCCCCAACGCTCGGACATATACATATCGTATAGTTATCTTGAATTATACCTTAGTAATTGACCTTGTAATTGACCTTGTAATTACACTAATTACACATAGCTGGGTACATAATACATAATTGAATTTAGTCTAAGCTTTCAAGCGCAAGGGCTTGGCTTGCGTATGTATTCCATTTCATCTGATGATGTCGGCAGTAACGGCTCAAAAGGGGATAAGATGAAACCAGTTAAGTTTGGCTGGTGTCACGCTTGGAGCCATGCTGAGGCAGGATCCGTGCTCCGAAAGCCCCTGGCCCGGGACCCCCTCGTCGCTTACACCCAGGCCACCAGCTTAGCTTGCTTGCAACTCCCTAAGCCTCCAACCTTAATTCTTCTGGTCCTTCTGGGCTTGCAGAGTACGTACCCCCGGTCAACCTCAAGGACGGCCAGCTTCACTCCCCCGGATTCAAAACATTTCAAGCTTTAGGTACACTTATGTACATACGTATGACTTGGACTTGTAACTCCATTGCTAGTCGCTACCTACGTAAGAATATGTTTCTTACAGTCGCCGTATTGGGTGTAGCGATTCTCAAGCGAGACGGATTCCATATCGTATTAGTGGGCTGGCGCGTATTGCTATGTAGAAGACCTCATCTTGTCTCCGAGATACCTATGTAGGTTAAGGACTGCGCCTCTACGGAAGCCCGTCCCAGCCGGGAGGCTTTGCCATGTAATGCCAAGCAGATCTCGATAGGACCAATGGACAACTGGGTCTGGAAGAAGGTATTTCGGCTGTCGAACGTCCGTCTAGGTATGTACCTAGACCCTACCGAATAATACCCTGGTTGATGTGGTAGCAATTCAGCATTTCCAATGCTAGTCATCTAGTAGATGGCCAAAACGTGTTTCATAGAATTATTCACTCCACGACCCTTGATTTTACGCTAGATGTCAGGGCATGGGTGAGGCCCCCCGGCATGGAGATCTCTCATATTATTGCCTGTCTGATGCTCGAGAGCCCTTTAAAGCTGATGGCACTCCCGTAAACGTCGTACTTGATCTTTTCTCCTCCAATTCATTTCAGCTACTCTACGTTTCTCTTTGGGATATTCATTTTCCGTCTTTTTTCGCTTCTTCCGTATTAACGTAATATTCTAAGGCTAGTCCTTCTCAGCGCGAGTCGCTTATCACATACGTTCTCTTAAACGACATTCTTTCTATATTTAGACGAAGTCAGAACATTCATCAAAAACCGCCAATATGCTTTTCTCCGCCTCTACCACCGCCGCTCTTCTCACCCTCTTGGGTTCCGCTGCTGCGCAGAAGGTCCACGTCGTTTCGGTTGGCTCGCCCAATGGCACTATTGCTTTCAGCCCGGACACCCTTAAGGCGGATGTTGGCGATATGATCCAGTTCCAGTTCCGAGGTGGCAACCACAGTGTAGCGCAGTCCAACTTCGACAACCCTTGCACGCCCATCTCCGAGCACACCAACCAGACTGGCATTTTCTCCGGCTACCAACCCGTGGCTGCCAGCCAGGCTATGGGCATGATCCCCACATATTCTGTCAAGGTCTCCGCCAAGACGCCCCTGTGGTTCTACTGTTCTCAGGCCAAGCACTGCCAAAACGGAATGGTTATGGTAGTTAACGAGAAGTGAGTACAATACTTTGTGAAGCAAATGAGATTGATATATGCTAACCTGAATAGCACTTCGGCAAATGCCACACGAAGCCTAGCAAACTTCAAGGAGATTGCTAAGGGAGCCGCTGCCAATGTTGCTCCCTCGGTCACTACCGGTGGTACTGCTGGTAATGGCACCGCTTCAGGTGGTTCAGAATCTGGTTCGGGCTCAGGATCTGGGTCTGGCTCAGAATCTGGATCCGGTTCTGGAAGTGGCTCCGGCTCTGGAAGTGGTTCGGAAGCCACGAAATCCTCCTCGGCACCTGTTGCATCGGCTACCGCAAGCACTTCTGCGATCCCGACCGCTGCTGCAAACATCGTTGGTGCTTCCAGCTCGATGGGTCTCTTTGGTCTGGTTGCTGCCCTATTCATGCTATGATCTGTCCTACAATAGGATATAGATAAGATTTGCTCCATAGTTTTTGTAGCTATGGTTTAATGACGGGAGGCGACGAGTCGTGCGATGCTCGCACGGACTCTAAGCCATGATATCGCGAGGGGCAAGCCGGCGTCGAACCCATTGGATGGGCAACCACGCCGTTGCAGATAGACAAGCCTTGACACGTGTATTTTGGATTCTTCACCCTAGGGGCAGACGGTTCGGTTCGCATTATTGTGCAGTTAGAGATGAGATGCCCTGATTTTTGAATAATATAAGCATTAATCCCAAAGAGAAAAACAAACTGTCTTTATGGTCTTTAAGAGTGTGTAATATATAATCCTGTTTAGTAGGTGTCCCGAGTATTATTAGTGCTTGTAATAGTAAAATGTTGCTGATCTCACCTCGGCCTTCATTATGTCTTCAAGCTACCGTTCAGTAAGCCAAAGGTCCCCAACATTCGTCCTAACTAATTTTATTTAATCCCCTTTCCTAGGTTTCTAGGTTAGGCAAGTCGCTTTCCCGCTATTAAAATACATAGTTATTTGAAATAAAATCTTATTTAATCTTCAGAGCCAGGGATCTTCCTCGGCTTCCTACCCTTCGCCGCCGCTTCGCACAACTTCTTCCTCGGCTCCTTATCTAACCAGTTCTTATCCTTTTTAACGTATCCGACCTTGGGGTACTTAGGGCTGTTCTCGAAGAAGCGGACCCAATGCAGCAGCCCCTCGTGGACTTTCTGCCTCGCCTCCTCGAGCTCCTTCTTCTTGAGCGCGGCGAGCTCGGCCGGCGCAAAGTGCGAGTCTACGGCCGGGTCGTCTAGCGGCAGGAACATGTCTTCGACTCCCCGCATGTCGGGCGTCCGGTCCTCGGCGAAACACCCCGTTACGTAGGACCGCGCCGAGTCGGCGCCCGCGAAGAATCGGTACGAGCCGCCCGGGCCGTACGTCCGCCGGTTGCTTGATACGTCGAAGATGCTGCCGTTGATAGCGAGGTAGATAGGCTTGGACTCGTCGGTGCCGTCGTATTGGGCTAGCTCGGCGGGGGTTAGGTATATGGGACCGCGCTGTTGGACGAGCAAGATGTTAGAATGATAGACAGGTAGCTAGGTAAGCCAACGCAGACTGAATTGGAAAAGCTAAAACGTCGTACCAATTGGCTCTTCCACCAGTCCAGTTGTATGTACTTGGGTGGCGCCCGCATGCTCCAGAAGAAAGACTCGCCGCCGGAAACGAGGTAGCTAAGACCACAGGACGCGACGAACAGGAATGAGAGCACGCGCAGGACGTCCAGCCACGGACTATACTCTTCATCGTCGTTGACAAGCTCCTTAGCTTTACGCTTGGGCTTAGGCTGCTTGGGCGCGGGCGTGTCCGACTCCGAGGTATCGAGCTCCTCGACGATAGCAGTTCGAACATCGTCCCTCGCGGGGCCTTTGCCCTTGCGCTGACGGATCTCTGCCATGGCGAGATACTTTCCTTCAGCAGCAGCAGCAGCAAGAGCTCTTTTTCACGTCTATATTTTGCAGGTACCCGAAGAAGTTCAGGAGAAGGAATAACTAACTAACTAACTAGTAGTTATTACAAACACTGTTTTACATTAGAAAAAAAAGGGATAATACATAAGAGCAGGTAACGCAATGTGGCCTTGTGCGAAGTTGGCTCGTATAATTGATTGTTCTAACTCGACTCTCCCGCCGGAAGCTCGAGGCTCCGCAAATTGGGAATTGGGATGGAATTGGGAATTGGACGGTTATGGTTCCATGGATGGAGCTTACGCGGTTCAACTTTATTACGTAGGTGCCTCCTTAGGTACCTAAGGTATGGAAGTACCTAACCTTGGTAGCCAGCCACAGTGTGGCTACAAGCTTGGAAATAAAAGTTTACATAAATTGGAAGTCCAACGGGAATTAGACGATTGCTGTGACATCAACCTTCCCTTCCATTAACCTCTCCAACGCAGCATAACGTCACAACCGAGGTTACCTTGGCTATATTTTACCCTCACGCCTCATGGTGCTCCGGGCATGCTGTTGGAAGTTCGATGGTTATTCCAATGATACTTCTTTAAACTCCGGTAGCCCCATCCAGGTCAATCGGTCCCGTGTCGGTATATCGGCCTACTCGTGATTCGTCCAATTATCTCATCGGGCATTTCCCTCCTTGAGCTACGATTTGGATTTGTAAAGAGTGTTAATGCACAATGAAGACGCGCGCATAGCAACTTCTTCGCGATCATCGCGTACCTCAGTAAGCATCGTAGATCCTGTGTCGGTTTTCATTCGCCCTTCGGCAACGATGTGGTGGGAATGTTAGGATGACTTAATCAGCGCGTCAGTATGGGAAATCTGAGGGTGTCAAGGATTATGTATAAATATCCGAGGATGAGCTTGGGAATTATAGCTTTATATCCTCGAACTGTATCACTGGTCAAGACATCGTATCTAGTCACCAGCTATCCGATTACACCAATATCACACTATAAAATCTTGAATATACCAACATCCCCCTTTTCCTTACTCAATGGCTTCCTCAACTATGCACGCGGTTGGCGTAACAGAATACGGCCCCGTTGAGAACCTACACTCGAGAGAAGTCCCCAAGCCATCGAAGCCAACAGGCCGTCAAATGATCGTTCAGGTGAAAGCCATCTCCGTCAACCCTATCGACAAGAAGGTCCGCGCTGGCACCTACGACGACGCCCCTGACTATTACGAGCGAGTCAAGCCACTAACGCAAGACTCACCTCACTTCCATATCACTGGCTACGACGGTGCTGGGATCATCCTCGAGACGGGTCCAGATGTAAAATACTTCAAGCCCGGCGAGGAGGTCTACTACCTCGGAAACCCTGTCTTCCAAGGCTCCTATTCTGAGCAGCTGATCGTGGACGAGCGACACGCCGGCCACAAGCCAAAGTCTCTCGACTTTGTCCAGGCCGCAGCAATGCCATTAACTTTCGCAACTGCATACGAGTCCCTCGTCGACCGACTAGAGATCAAGGTAGGCGAGAAAGCCGGAATCCTCATCATCAACGGCGGCGGCGGCATGGGATCGATCACATCCCAAGTCGCGCGGCACATCTTAAAACTGCCTATCGTCATCACCACGGCCTCGCGACCCGAGACCATCGAGTTCTCCAAGAAGATGGGTGCCACGCACGTGGTCAACCACCGCGGAGACATCGTGCAGCAGATCAAGGACCTAAACCTACCCGCCGATATCCCCCTGAAGTATGCGTACATCACAGGCCGCACGGAGCAGTACCTGTTCCCGATTGCGGACATCCTGGCGCCCTTCGGCAAGGTGGGCAGCATCGTGCAGGCCAACTTCGACATGTACGGGTCGCAGATGATGAGCAAGTCGCTGACCTTTGTCTGGTGCTGGGTTGGGACTGGGCCGTACCATTATTACTACAATGACAAGCAGGAGAAGCACCATGATTGGTACGAGAAGCTCGCCGGGCTGCTAGACCAGGGCGTGATCAAGTGCCATTTGAACGAGCGCTTGAGGGCCACGGCCGAGGGCATCAGGCAGGCGCACAGGAGGCTTGAGGCTGGGAATGCTGTGGGCAAGATTGGACTGGGTGTTGATGAGCCTGGGGAGGGAAAGGCGTTTCAGTAGATGCTTTGTAAAGGAGAATGTGTTTAAGTAGTTGAAGATAGATTAATGCCATGACCTATGTTTCCGTATATAATTTTTTTTCTCTATTTACCAAGGCATTCAGATGTGTTCTGTATGTTCCAGGTTAATAAGATGCAACTTTAAAATGCCAACTGAGATATGTTCCTTTTTCGGGATAGCAGTACCTAGGTACATGTATGTACTAGACATGCATCCATGGATGCAGCATGGCTGTGGTGCTAAATGTTAATTCAGGGTACGTACCCACCACGTGAAACTCCTTATCTTTTCGGCTGCCAGCTGCCAGCTGCCACCACCTGTAACAAACCGACGCGCCTGATTGGCCTTCTCGCACTAACCACTGAGCCCTAGCGCACCAATTCTACCCACGAATTTCAATCGGATGTACCCGGCCAAAATTTCTACCTCGAACTTCAACAGTGGAATTTCGCGATCCTCCCCACCACCAACGTTCGACCTTTTAACAACACCAATCTCCTAGCCAGAACGCCAGAACAATCAAGATGTCTGACAACGGCGAGGTCGAGGTCGAATCCACCAACTACCAGGTCCTTCCCAAGGACGTTGTCTCCGAGATTGGCAGCATCAAGCTGTTCAACCGATGTACGTTTTCTTTTTATTCGACCCTTGGAGCATTGCGACTGACTCTTTAAACAGGGAGCTACGAGGATGTTGAGATTCGCGACATCTCGTTGACGTAAGTTTACTACTCGATCCTCTACATCTCGATTCTACCTGAAAACTTGGGTTTGGGCGACGCGACATCCAGCCTTGATTCTCGAACAAAACTCATGGGGAATTGCAACAGAAGAGTTGAGGACAGCACGCTGACAGTACAATCTCGATAGCGATTACATCCAGATCCGATCCCCCGTTTACATTCCTCACTCCGCTGGTCGTTATGCCGCCAAGCGATTCCGCAAGGCCAACTGCCCTATCATCGAGCGATTAACCAACTCGCTCATGATGCACGGCCGCAACAACGGCAAGAAGCTCAAGGCTGTCCGAATCGTTGCCCACTCTTTTGAGATTGTAAGGAACCAGGAACCGGGGGTTTTAACGTAGTAAAAGACTAATATCGTATAGATCCACCTCATGACCGACCAGAACCCCATCCAGATCGCCGTTGATGCCATTGTCAACTGCGGCCCCCGAGAAGACAGCACCCGTATCGGTTCCGCTGGTACCGTCCGACGACAGGCTGTCGATGTGTCCCCTCTTCGACGAGTCAACCAGGCTATTGCCCTGCTCACCACCGGTGCCCGAGAGGCCTCTTTCCGCAACGTCAAGTCGATTGCCGAGTGTCTAGCTGAAGAGCTGATCAACGCTGCCAAGGGAAGCAGCAACTCGTACGCCATCAAGAAGAAGGACGAGTTGGAGCGTGTCGCCAAGAGCAACCGATAAAAGGGGTGCAGTTTCTGGGTTTTCTTCGGCGTGGACGATCTGGGCATTTTACACTCTGCATTTGTGCGTTTCTGGCTCAGGCGGGATGCGGTTCTATGGCATACTAGTCACATAGGCCTCTTCAATAAAGGCTCTGCCCGTGTGGGCAAATCATGATGAACTGAAATCAAGTAATTCCCGAAACGATAACCGGTGTTATAGCATTTATTTTGCTCTACCGATATAGCTCTCGCAAATGCAATGACATCGGTAAACGAAATTAGTCATAATTGACTTGGTATCTTTGTAAAAACAGCAACGAAACGCCAACTGATAAAGTAGCACTTATACGACCACCCTCGTACTCCTAATATCAAGGCTCGAGGAATTCTGATTATCCCCTTTTAAGCCTGCCTGCAGCACTATACTTTCGGGTTTCCCTCCTTGATATGCAGTCGTAAAAACATTCCTACGTGCGGAATGCCTTCCTCGTACCATTTACCCATGCCCTCGTCGACTTTGAAGCCCCACCTCTCGTAGAGTTTCACCACGCTCTCCTGAGCGTGACAGCACACCAGGCCGTTCCACTTGGGAATATCGCCAGCTACGCCAACCTTGAGCTGATCCATGCCTAGCTCCGTGACGCTAGGGTTGAAGAAGGTCGGGTTGTCCTCGAGCCACTTCTTGGCTGCTAGCCACAACTGGCCCGCGATGTGGTGGCCGCGAAACTCGGGAATCACTGCCATGCGGCCCAGTTTGACGTACGGCTCCTTTCCGTCGTGGTATGTCGTAGGCCGATCCACACCGAAAGGCAAAGCGGAAGCTTGGCGCTCCTCGTCTACAGACGTCATGGTCCTGGCTCGAGGCCTTGCGGTTCCGGAAGAAGTAGCAGTGCCGTCACCCTTCGTCGCGCTATCACCTTCATCATCATCATCATCATCATCATCCAGCAGCACGTTATCCACGTACCTGCCACCGGGCTGGGGGTGCGGCGGGTGCGGAAACGGCACAACGCGCAGGGTTCCGATGGGTAGGCTGCGGGTCTCGGACTTGCGGGGCTTGGTGACTTCGCCGGAGAGCGGGTCGCGCTCCTCGGGCTCGGTGGTGAAGTTCACGCTGGCGTACATAACCCAGTGGCAGGAGCGCGCGTCGTCCGGGTCGTGCTCGTGGGTGAGCGGGACGCCTTGCTCGCGCACGAAGACCGCCTCGCGCACCTCCATCGCGTCGCCGAAGGTCTTGGGCACGTGGCCCGGTTGCTGGTCGTGAGGCCGCGTGCGGTCGTACCCGTCCAGCCGCGTGGGCTCGAGGTGCGAGATGAACGGTGTGCCCATTTTGGGACCGGGGGGGGTTGTCTTTCCAGTTCGGGGTGGCGGATTGGTAGATTGGTGGCGATGGAGTTTGCTCCGTGGGGACTTGGCTTAGGCCCGAAGTTGACGATCGCTCTTAGTTTCTTTTTGGTAGTTTTCCTTTTTGTGTTCTCCGAGTAAGTTAGTTTGGTCTGATAACCCGAGAATAAAAGGTGAGAACGTAGTTCCCTTCTATATTTACTCCAAGTAGAAGAAGCAGGCGATCACTTTGGTAGCTGTGGTTGATAGACAAATGAACGGTGTGTATGCGTCGTGATGATGACCACGACAGCATGCCCAAGTAAGCAGGGATAAACTAGGGGGGTAGAAGGAAGGCTGTGACTAATGAGAAAGTCACGAAGCTCGAAGGGGCCCAGAATAGTGGAAACAGTGTGTACGAAGCTGAAACGAGATCGTCGAGGTCAAGGTTCATTCAGTTGAGTCATTCGAGGAAGGAGCGGGGGTTACACAGGTCACCACGGAGCCGACAGTTCCATCCGGCGTCAGATGTTGCCACCCCGTCGTTTCGGCGCGGCGCGTGAACTACGGATACTTGTGCCGACGCTGGCCGACAAAAGGTACCGGTCTCAGATGGTGTCTTCTTAATTAATTTTTAATTTTTTAGTAGAAAAATAGCATTCAAGAATTGGATTTCAAGCATCATGAATAATGAGTAAGATGAGAACAGAAGGAATAACTGGTCACTTTTATTAGTGTTGTGTTACCTTCAATACAATCTTAGCTCGAACAAGCGGACTTGTAACGGTAGCTCCGAGTCAATATATCACTATTTAAGACCACCACTTAGCAATATGCTCTGACCCGTTAAATACCCCGTCCTGCATATCATAGTAATAATATTAGCGCATTCCTGAGGCGTTCCTAGCCGTCCCACCGGGATATTCTTGACGTCGCCCGGCGTGCCCTCGACAAACTTCTCGTCGGGTATCATTCCCGTTTCACCGATCATAGCCGGAGCTACATCGTTAACAGTAATTCCTACTTTTGCATGCTTCATCGCCAGATTCTTCATCAGACCTGTTAACCCCGCTTTGGAAGCTGCATAATGGCAAGCGTTGATGCCACCTCCTTGTGCAGCTATCGAAGAGATGAAAATAATACGACCCCACTCCTGAGCCTCCATATGGGGAATGCTCAACTTGGACAGAATAAAAGAAGCCCGCAAGTTCACGTTGATAGTATAATCGAATTCTTCCAAGCTCACATCCAGGATACCGTTGCGTCGCTTCCCGTAGCCCGCGTTGGAAACTAGTATATCTGGGCCGTCTTGGCCGTGTTGTTCCTTAATTTCACGAAAGAGCCGCTCGATCTCTTCAGCCGAGCCGGTATCGACGCAATGGATGGTGACCTTGTGGCCCACGCTTCCAGCCGACTTGCGAAGCTCCTCAGCTAAGTCGTCTACTGGCTGTCTATTGTGGAAACATGTTAGGGCGAGGGAGGCCCCATGAGCCCAGAGGTCCCGAGCACATGCAGAGCCGATGCTATGATTCGTCAACGCTGTATAGATAAATTATCTGCTTGTGCATATGAATATACGGTGTTAGCATACCCTCCAGAAGCGCCCGTTATGAGGGCGAGACGACCACTGATCTCATTATCGACTCTAGGCATGGTTATTGGACGGGACGAAGGCTGTTGGAATTTGGGGTTTAAGGTAACATTTCGCATTTCGCAAGTCTACCTAAAGGCTACCTAACGTACACATTAAATTGACGTAAAGGCCAATATGTACCCCATACTTCTTCTTCATGCGCGGGGGAATCTAACCTAGATGGTGTACAAATACCTACGCCAGCCACAAGTACCTACATAAGTACATAGGTACATAGGTAGCTGTTCTTTTATTATGTACATATTCTGTAGAGTTCTTAAAGTGGGGCATTCTAAGAATTTCCACATTCGTAGCATTTAGTTCCATAATTCACTATCGAACCAATCAGATCACTATCGGTGGCTTTTATGAAAAGTGTCAGCCACGTGCAGGGATTTATTTTCAACAAGTTGTCCTCTTTGTAGGAGAATAATACGTACTTTTTTTTTGGCCGAGCTCACGCGGTGAGGTCAGGAAAGCTGGCTTGGAATATGTTGCTTGGTTTTTTCGTTTAGTTAAGGCCAGATTCTACATAATAAAATAAAGGAAACCATTTATAACAAGACACCAGGCTGGAGCCTCGCAAATAAAATTGCATTCAAATTTCTCTCTTTTTTTATTTTTAAAAAAAAGCATCAACTTTGCTTGATTGCTTCCACAACCTTTTCTTGTAGCTGGTCTCAAACCCTTTCTGCGGCGAGCTTCTCGCCAATCACCCCTCCTCATCCCGCCCAACATGGCACAAACATTCTCCCCTCGATCAATACTACTTTGTGTAGTTCTTTTTTTCTCTACAAATGCCCTTGCTATATCTGCTGTTCTTGGTATAGATCTCGGTACTGAATATATAAAAGCCACCCTCGTCAAGCCTGGTATCCCCCTCGAGATCGTCCTAACTAAAGACTCGCGAAGAAAAGAAACCTCCGCAGTCGCATTCAAACCCTCGCAAAATGCCCCCAAGAGTGGCTCGTATCCCGAGAGGGCATATGGCTCCGACGCCATGGCCCTTGCAGCTCGTTTCCCTGGCGATGTCTACCCTAACCTCAAGACTCTCCTTGGCCTTCCCACGGACGACTCGATCGTGAAGGAGTACACTGCAAGGCATCCTAGCCTACAATTAGAGGCGCACAAGACCCGCGGTACAGTCGCGTTCAAGAGCCAGGCTACTGCTAAGGAAGAAGCATGGATGGTAGAAGAATTGTTAGCAATGGAGCTTCAGAGCATACAGCGCAACGCTGAAGCAATGGCTGGTTCCGACGACAACGTTCGATCTGTGGTTATTACGGTCCCGCCTTTCTATACTGTCGACGAGAAACGCGCTGTGGAATTGGCTGCCGAGCTCGTTGGTCTCAAGGTTCTATCCCTTATTAGTGACGGTCTTGCTGTCGGGTTAAACTACGCTACGAGCCGAACATTCCCTACTGTTAGCGAGGGAGCTAAGCCGGAGTATCACATGGTCTTTGACATGGGCGCTGGATCCACCAAGGCAACTGTCATGAAATTTCAAGGTCGAACTATCAAGGATATCGGCAAATTCAACAAGACGGTCCAGGAAGTACAGGTCGTCGGAGCCGGTTGGGATAGGACTCTAGGCGGTGACGCTCTCAACTACTTGATCGTGGACGACATGATCTCCAAGTTTGTTGAGACGCCCTCTGCTAAGAAGGTCTCTGTGACGGCAGAGAGCGTTCGGGGTCACGGACGAGCTATGGCGAAACTTCTGAAGGATGCCGAAAGATTAAGACATGTCCTCAGCGCCAATGTCGATACTGCCACTAGTTTCGAGGGCCTTTACGATGATATCGACTTCAGATATAAAATTACTCGAGCAGACTTTGAGAAGTTGGCTGAAGCGCATGCCGAGAGGGTTGGTGCCACCATCCAAAAGGCCCTAGAAGTAGCCGAGCTTGACATCAGCCAGCTTGACTCTATCATTCTTCACGGCGGTTCATCGCGGACGCCTTTCGTCCAGAAGCAACTTGAAAAGATTGCTGGCGGTGACAAGCTCCGTAGCAATGTCAACTCAGACGAGGCAGCAGTATTTGGCGCAGCTTTCCGAGCTGCAGAACTTAGCCCCAGTTTCCGAGTCAGGGAGATCAGGATCTCGGACAGCTCATTCTTCCCAGCGGGAATGAAATGGACTAACCCCCAGGACAAACCCCAACAGCAGCGACTCTGGACCGAGCGATCTCTCCTCAGTGCTGCTCCGAAGGAAGTCACTTTCACAAACCACGAGGATTTCTCGGTTATTTTCTATCAACAGGTACTCTCAACTGACGGCACCGCAGTAGACCGAGAGACAAAATCCCTGGTCACGAAGAATTTGACGGCGTCTGTTGCATCTCTCGTCGAGAAGGGATGCGCTAACTCCGATATTCATTTCAAGGTCAAGTTACGACTCAGCACTGAGAATGGTGAAGTAGAAGTTGACAAGGCCGCCGTTGAGTGTGAGGCTGAGGTACAGGAAAAGGAAGGTTCGGTCATTGATGGCGTGAAGAACCTCTTTGGATTCGGTAAAAACAAGGAACAGCAACCTCTAAAAGAGAGCGAAGAAACTTCCGAAAGTGCCTCAACTACCGAGTCCACTAACACGGCCACCACTTCTGCTGTAGAATCTAGTTCTACGTCGACAACTGCAACTGAGTCAACGTCCGCTGAATCCGCAGACGGCAGCCCGGTGCCAAAGAAGAAGCAACTCGTTGTGGTCCCGATTGACTACATCGTAGAGAAGGCGGGTATTCCAGGTCTATCAAAAGCAGACCTTACCAAGTCAAAGGATCGCATCAAGGCTTTTGAGACTTCGGATAAATCTCGACGATTGAGGGAAGAAGCACTAAACCAGCTTGAAGGCTTCACCTACAGGGTCAGGGATTTACTAGAAAGTGAATCCTTCGTAGCTGCATCTACCCCAGAAGAGCGAGCTAAGCTAGAAAAGAAGGCTAGCGAAGCTAGCGAATGGCTCTACGATGATGGAGCTGACGCACCCCGCGAGGCGTTGAAGGCCAAGCTCAAGGGTCTAAAAGATATCGTTTCTCCCATAGAGAAGAGAATTGACGAAGCGCAAAAGAGACCAGAACTAGTTAAGAGCCTACGAAGTACACTGGACCAAACAACCACTTTCATTGATACTATCAAGGAGAAGATTGCCGAAGCAGATGCATACATATCCTCTCTCGGGTCTAGCACTACTTCGACAAGTGAAACAACTTCTACCGTCACCTCGGCCCCGTCTAAGGATTCTGGCGAGTTTGACGGTCTTGAGGATGAAGAAACTACAACTTCGACAACAACTACAGCCGCTGCAGAGGACCGCGGCCCGGCACCGCCCCTCTACACTTTTGATGACCTCAAGGAGATCACGGACCTTTCAAAGTCTGTCATTGATTGGTTAGAGCAGAAAATTGCCGAACAGGAAAAGCTCCCTGAGGCAGCGGACCCCGTACTGTTGGCCAAGGACCTCATAGAGAAGACCAAGAAGCTTGAGAAGGCTGGGATGGACCTAGCAATGAAGAGCGTCAAAAGTTTCGAAAAGAGCAAGAAGAAGAGCAGCTCGAAGAAGCCGAGCAAGAGTAAGGCTAAGAAGGGATCTACCAAGACGGGCAGCGACGGCTCGAAGCCGACGGTTGAGTCCAAGGACGGGGAAAACTACATCAAGTTCGGAGAAGGTGGCAAGGGCCCGACGCCAGAGGAGATCGAGGAGATGATCAAGCGCTTGTCCAAGGAACAACAGGATAAGGAGGAGCCTAGGGCAAAGCACGATGAGCTATAGAAGTGATAGATAGATAGATCTTGATGAATTATATGACATAACCAGACAAAATGATTGCCAGTTTCGAACCCATCGAGGTTGTATAAAGTGAAGCACCTAATGTTAGGCACCTGTGTTTGTCTCTTCCGAACATGGGAAGTCGGCCCAGACAATTAGGAGGTACCTATAGCCTATAGGTATCTGATGTTCGTACAAGACTCCACCCTTCTTCCTGTAGTAGGCCGTTTGTCATCGTCATACGTGGTACATGATCTTTTCTTGAGCACGTATTAGGAAAAGATAGGTACGAGTTAGACATTGTATCGGAAGGAAGGATATAGAGTTAAATTAGGTAGTCTCGAACTCACTTTAGTTGTACATAGGTATGTATGTCCTATTCGAAGTTAGAGTCTGGTTCATATTGATATCATGAGTCGATCTAGCCATAAGCTAGTAAGTACCTAAGTAATTCAAAGGCTGGAGCTATGTACATTAGGTAGGTAGGAACATTAGTTTAAGAGACACATAGTTACGTGTAAATATGGAAGTTACATGGAGGTGTTTGTCTGTAGGTAGGTACATGTCTACATCCAATTCATATAATGGAATGCAGTTGCGCAAGATTGCACGGGTTCCACGGTCCTTCAATCCAAAGGCAGCTGCGGATATCCGGCTTGGCAAGATGGCCGACGGCTGTAAATTCTGGTGTCTTCATGTTTGAGGTTGTTTAAGGTTGGGAGGTAGCTGGGAGCAATCATCCCAAAGCACGCGCCTGCCACAGGGGTATACCCAACTGCCACCTGCAGCTTTAGTGAAGCACCTCGTCACTTAGGTAACACGTCCCAGTGATTCACTTAACTTGGGAGGTACATATGGACATACCTACCTATGTACTGTTGACGAGATGTAGTTGCCTACCTAATGTATTAAATCTTGAGGGTAGTTGCACATGTTCACATCACAACATGCTCATACCCAAACACCATTTCCTATTTCCTGGGATACTCCTTTCAATAATTTTTCTCTTCTTCTTTTCTAATAAATTCCTCCTTCCCGTTCCTTTTTACTCTCCCCTAGGCACAAGAAGTTCTACCATTAGATCACCAAAAGGTTCATCAGAATGGCATACTTCCCTAGTGCCCGTGTGGTGGTGATGCTTTGCCTCTCCTTTTTCACTACTACTGTTTGGACCTTGGCCCTTGTTCCTAAGACTGGCGAGACGCTTTCTCTTCCTCTATCTCACAATGCCGATGTCCCTCGTCACGGCCCTACTGATTATCTCAGAACCCTGAAGAAGTACAACCTCAATGTCCCCGAGGGTTTACAGCAGGTTGTTGATGCCCACAAAGCCGCCACGAACAACAAGATCGCCACAGGCGAACCTGGTAAGTTAAGCAGCGTGTGGGCTCTCTAAGGGAATTAGACAGCTATAACTAACAACAACAACATTAGGAAGTTCTGCTCCGGCCGCCGCTCACGATGGCGATCTTCTCTGGCTCACTCCTGTCAGCATCGGTGACCCCCCTCAGCAGTTATACCTAGATCTAGATACTGGATCATCTGATACGTACGTTTCCATTATAAACTTATTGTACTTGATATTGTAATCGGTGTATACTAACAAGTAGCATAGTTGGATCTTCTCGACTGACACGGATAAGACTGAAGTGGCCGGACAGACCCTTTGGGATCCTAGCAAGTCATCATCAGCCAACAAGATCCAGAATTGCACTTGGTCTATCATCTATGGCGACTTCTCTACATCTCAGGGTATTTGTTATAAGGATACTCTCATACTTGGAAATCTCTCCATCCCTAACATGACAATTGAATCGGCTACATCGGTGTCAACCATGTTTACCGAGTCTGCGAATATGTCTGGCCTTGTAGGATTAGCCTGGCCTTCCATAGCTCAGATGCTGCCGCCCCAGAAGACCCTTCTTGATCTTCTACCCAATGTGTTGAGCCAACCTTTGTTTACAGTCGACCTGCGTCACAACAGCAGTGAAGGCTCCTTCAACTTTGGATATATCGACGATAGCCTGCATACTTCGGATATTAAGTATATCGACGTGAACACGACGGACGGCTATTGGGCTGTTCAGCAGACGGGCTTCTCCATTGGTGGCTCAGACGTCAAATATGAGTTCAGTGAAGCACGAGATATCATTGTTGACACTGGATCCACCCTGTTCTTTGCCCCAGAGGAGGCGGTTAAGACGTATTTCGGCAGCGTCCCCGGTGCCAACTACTCGTATACAGATTACGGATGGGTGCTTCCCTGCAACACAACCCCACCCGACTTCGTTTACGAGCTCGGAGATACACAGGGCAACAGACTTGCCGGCTCGGTGCCTGGTGCTTACTTTGTGTACGCCCATTCCACCGACGAGCTGTGCTATGCTGGTCTACAATCTCTCAGTTCTTTTACTGATATGCCAAGTATTTTTGGCGATGTGTTCCTCAAGAGTGGATTTGCCGTCTTCGACATTGCGAACAAGAAGTTTGGGATGGCCCCGAAGCCCCTGAACACCAATAATGATAAACGAGACTTGGATGCTCGCGATGAGGTTAAAAATGTCGTCGAATATATTTGAAGCAAGGGAGAATATGGAATCAATTTGCTGGCTTGCATTGTACGAATGATACAAGAGCTCTTTGCGTTTAATTGTCTTGGCTTCCGTTGGTGAGGCTCGCCTACCCAACCTAGACTTTCATGATGTTTACTTTGCGTACCTACGCGGTATGTATTCATTTTAACTTCGATCGGTAAAATAGGCGAATGAGATAGTTGTGGCAATCATCATGGGAACTGATTCCACGAACCATCACTTGTACTTCGTTTCTCCTCTAGGCAGAGATAAATGTGACTCGTCGTACCTAAATTTTTGCAAACCTCCCGTCCTTCTCTAATTTTGCTAATTCGTTTCCCTATTCCTTCTTTAACTTTTGTGTAGCGTTAGTGGTAGTGCTGCTAGGCTCTTGTAAGAGTTCGTCTACGAGGAGGGGCTTACGTAGATTTTCGCCTCGAGACACGAACTTTGGCGTTGAGGGGCCGGCAGATTGTATGTTTGTATGTGGTGTAATTTGAGGTTCTGGGCGGATGGATAGGCGACGGCAAAGGGTTCGGTTATAAGCACGGCATATATAATTTACCTGAGTGCCGCCGCTCACGTCTTTTTATTCCCCTCTTCGGCCATCTTTTCATTTGAGCAGTTCGCTAGGTTATCTGGTTTGTCCCAATATGAGTTTTCCATTTGCCGAGTCAGTAAAATTTAATATCGCTTTCTGTAACTCATCATCACTCACAGGTATACATAGGGTTGATCTTGTCTGGTATGAAAATGATTAATTATGATTACTGTTGTCTGCCTCTTTACTTTAAGGCTATTGACGTATAAGATGATAACGGATCAAAGCATCTCAAAACTCAGGGGCGAGCATGCATTAATTTGAGCGAGATGCATTAGATGTACTCGTTGAACGATAAAAGCATCTATGTACAATAACAGGCCCTTCTCTACTACTAAGGCCAGCTGATGAGATACGACATATGCATGCATCCATAGTCCATGACGACGGCCTTTGGTCCGCTTTCGCAACCGTTCCAACCTCGCGGGGCGGCGGCGACAGCGTTGCTCAAGAAACATAAAATCCTATGCCATGCTAAAATGCCAAGTGTGAGATGAGCGCTTCGTAGCACGCTCTGTCTGTCTGTTAATTATCAGGACCCAACCCCGTAATAATCACCCCACTGCGGCCGCCGCCTCCGTATTCATGATGCTACTTTAAAAAAAAAAGGGGGTGATCCTAAGATTGAAAAATGGATGAGAAAAGGAAGATGGACGCCTTCAACGCCAGACGGACAAGAATATAACGTCGTCGCGTCTTTTCTCTAAACGAGGGGATATCTTGAGGGTTGTTGTAAATTCGGGTTCGTGAGACTAGGAAAATGGGTGGTTCTCGTTCGCCCCCGTTTGCCGACGAGAAAAATCGAATGGACCAAGGCTCGCTTGTGGTCGGATCCCAGAACGGGGAGCAAGGATTAGTTTCATCCGGGGTACGCGTATCCAAGTTACTCCAACTGAGGCGATCTGAACTCATGTCCAAGTCCGGTCCTGTGGGGTTCGACGGAGGAAGTTTGTTGGTTACTCAAATATGTCTCCTTTAATATTCCGGTGGAAAGAATACGAAACTTGATGGAAGCCAAAAGCGATAGAAATTCAACTCGTGCCGGGTAAGGGGGGGGCGCAGGTTCAAAAAAGTTGTTGAAACGTAGTTATGCCGATTTAGTTGTCGCGGTCACCACCATCTTTAGAAACGTAGACATAGTCAGTAAAAGTTCGAGAACAAGCGGCGCCGTCACCAGAGGAGCTATGTTTGACAAGTACGTATTCACCTTCGCTGGCTGTGGGGGTCGGAGGCATAGCTCCTCCATGGGCAGGTGCTTGCTGTACCTGTTTAGCAGTTCCTGGCCGAGACCTTTGCTGCTGCTGCTGCTGTGCGAGATCCTTCTCTGTAGATGCCGCCTTGCCGAACGCATCGCCAATGGCTTGCCGTTGAGACCGTGGGCTCATGCTACCGGCGACTCCCGGAGGGTTCTGCCTCTTCAGTCGTTCTTCCATCTCCTTAATTCTAGCCTCGAGGGCCTCTAACTCGGTCTGGCCACTGTTGACTTGCTGTTTTCTAGTCATGAGAAAACCCAGTATTAGTGGCCGTTGGTCAAGGTCGCGTAATAAGAAAACTACGTCTCTGAAGAGCAGGGGACTTGGCATGGGCCATACCGCTTGTCAATTTGTTCGTCCAGGTCGGCAAGGCTGTTTTCAATCCGAAAGATATCCATCAGCTCTTGACTGAAAGATCGGGCAATCGTACTACACAGAAGATGTTGTGTTAGCTTTGGTGTGTCTTGAAGAATCTGGTTTGCTTCTCGGTAAGGCCTTCCCCTTACTAGCGACGGCGAGAATAGCGGGTACGGAAATCAACGGATAATAGCTAGGAAACTCACGATTGAGGTCGGCGGCCATTAGGTTGCCAGTCGCGGTCGAGTTCCTCGTCGGTGGGGTTCATGTTGGGCAAAAAGTTTACGTTGTCGTCGTACATAAAGGTTGGATAAAGGAAGATGGTGTAGAAGTCGCAGAAGTCGTCCAGCTCAGAAGTGCTGGGGGGAGGAGCTGGAGCTGGGTGGTATTATTATTGATAAAGTATTGGGAGTTGGCTTTTGGCGGTGGGGGGGGATGAAAAGGCGGGTCACAGAAAAATGCCTAGCAACTCATGGATGTTAGTATGGATGTTAGTGTATTAGTGGATTTTAAAAGGGACCGAATAAAACGAATAGCGAATAGAAAAAAGGGGGTCAGGCGAACAGGTGGAACTCGAGCCTCGCGGTACCTGATTTATAGCACATGTCCTGTCTGTCCTGTCTGTCCTGTCTATCCTGCCTGTCTTAGGTACTTGTCTTACATAGGTAGGTACCTAGGTACTATCTCACTGTCTTGCACTTGCACTTCCGGAGAGGTAAGCTGGACTTGACTGAAACACTTCCGCATAAGAACTAATTACATAGGTCGCTATACCCGGAATAGTGATGGAGGTAATTTATGTAATCAGACGATGTAATCAGTCGTAGGGGAAAGGTAACCTATGCGATACTTACAATAGGTAATGGATTATTTAACGAAGCTTGAAATTGGTAATAAGAACAGTACTGTAGTAATAATAATAACAACAACAATAATAATCAACAGATTATCATCTTAACGAAAGAGCAGCTTAATGGAAGAGGCAGATTTTTTGTATCTCTTCACCTGGCTAATAATTACTTCTTGGCGTCCTAAGCTGCTTTTTAGGATGAGCTCACGACGATCTCATCATTAGACGAGATGGTCCATGCATCCGAATTCGACAACGATGATCCAAATCAACTACCTAGGTACTACCTGGGTTAATGGAGTCTTATTGTTCCATTCGCATTATTCGTATTATTTTACTTTATCATGCAAACCTTGCTATGGAATACGGATGCTGTTTGACATTAGATTGACGATGAAGTGATGATGGCTTGCATAAGCTTATATGCGTATTGTCATGTACACTAGCAATACTACTCTGTCCTATTCTAGTAACGTTCCTGAATTACTTCCCTACCAGAGTTACTTGGGATTTACTTGGGGATAGGTACTTAATCTCCCTTGCTTTTATGCACGTCGTAGCTGTTTAAACTTCGGTCCCCCTTATTCTTGCAGGAATGTTCTATGTTAGGTAGGGTAGTATTATTCAAATGCTCCATTGAGGGTCTACATACATAGTATGCAGTACTCCATTGAAAGTATTATGCGGACGCCTAGACGCGCGGGAAGCCGGGCTATTAGTTAGGTAGGTAGCTTACTACTACATAGGTATGTATGTATCCATCGTTTACACTAGACGTAGCGCCTCTCTTTTCGTTTCCTAAAGCTGTCCCTTCATATTATATTTCTCTTTAATAGGTTAGACATCCTCTAGTTCAGGCTTCGTTTGGTAAGTCTTATGGGGACTCATAAGTCTCGTGGAATCGAGGTCAGACATACCTACTCATCTCGAGGGCTACCTAATTAGTGTTTAATTAATCATTTGTACAAACATATTATACTACTTCGTCCCTAAGCGCCAATATCAACCTTATGACATCGACTAGTCTATCTTCACCCTGGCTGTCTAGTACTGGGCACGTGCGTAGCAAGATCGCGTGTCTTGCTCATATGTAAGAATTTAAAGGTCTCACTGTCACGTCATCTAAGATAAGGATCTAGATGAAGGATCTAGATGTTCGTTACTAGTTATAAGAAATAGCAACCTATGATGAGACTGGCTGTGATGGTCGTTAATGTTGACTGGTATGTAGGTGGAATATCCTTGCTATTCGGGTAGTTGCTTAGCAACTACATGTAATTAGTATGTTGGGCAGAAAAGTTAGAAAAGCGCCTTATTAGATTTCGAAAAAAAAAATTTGATTGCGCTACATATATGCAGGTAAGAAGGAGATACCTGGTAAATCTGTGCAATCAGTTATTAATAGAAACGAGCTCTGATATGAAGAAGTTGAGATACCTACATAGAACACATATGTACATCCGATACGGAGCCTTTTTAAACTCTAACCTAAGAGGTAGCTACTAGCTGCTATGTAGTTAGTAGGTAATACTTAGGTAAGTTAGTTCCGTAAACTGCAGTAAGGTAAGAAAGCACGGGCCACATGCACTAACAGGAACGTTTGGACCTATGAACCCCCCCAGATTCCGCATTCCAACCCGCTCCAACAATCAATCTGGCAACATTCGCCGATCCATCACACGAATCATATACTACCGTGGCCTGCGACCTTGCGGATTACCGAATATACTTATTTTAAATCACGTGATCCATTGCTAACGACAAGGAACCGTGAAAAATATTCCTCGCGAATAGCCTCATCTAAAACCGGCCTTAATAGTCGCCGTTCCGCTATTAAAGTGGTCGGAGTAGTCTTAACGGACTTCTACGGCCCTTGTAAACTCTTATCGTACGCGTCTTAACCGTGTTTTCCCCGCCGGAGCCGCCTAACAAAGGTGTATTTAGGCTTGCTGACCGTGACATTAGATCGTGGCGCCGATTCATCTTTTACAGCGACGCGACGGTCCCCTCGACCCCGGCCGAGGTGGATTCTGGGGCATGAATCAGAACCCGCCTGCATATACCCCCCTCGAAGCATTTGCTTTATTCCAAGAGCTCAAGAGAAACTTTCAGAACGGCCTGGTCATCGGTACCTTCAGTCGCGTCTCCGAGACCCTCAAGAAAACACCCTTGATATTTGAGCAAGACGATTTTGATGCCGACCGACTAAGCCCTGAATCTCTTCAGGGCTTTGCCCTACAGCTACTTAGAGAAGAGCGGAAGGAGGAGAGGAAACGGGAGGCCGAAGCCGCTGCAGAGAAAAACAATGCCGGACTGTCACCAAACTCTAGGAAAAGAAAGCTTCAAAGTCCCCCTTTGTCTACTTTTCAGGAAGCCCTAGAGCAGACGGATAAGCTCCCGAACCTGGTGGAAAAGCTCTATATACGATTTCGGGATAATCTAATCAGGGAGATCAGAGAGGACGAAAGACGGTTCGACGAGCTTCAACGAGAGCTTGCTGAGATCGAAAGGGGAGAATGGGATAACAGGCTTATTCAGGAGCAACGTGCGGAACCACCGGCGAGTAACGGGACTTCAGCTGCCAGCGATCCATTACCTACGATACCGGAAGGCCAAGCAGCACCACCGCCAACGCCGATACCACCAGTCCAGATACAGACACACACGCCGACGCCAATACCAGTACAAGCACCGACACTACCGCCAGCATCAACGTCAACGGCAGTATCAACACCAGTTCCGGTTCCTTCCCAGACCCAGGATCACGGTAGGAAAACTGAGCCGCCGCATACTCCTCAGCCGCCCCAGGAGAAGAAAGTCCACTCAATTCCTCCATCGCTACCCCCACCTGCTCGTCCTCCAAGTGAAGCACGCCATATTGCCCCGGATAACAGGCCACAAGAACTAGGGCGTCCGATAAGTAATACAACATCAGTTTTACAACATCCACAGACCGTTCAAGGGTATCCCGCACGTTCAGGTTCTGCCACGCCTCAGCCACCCGTCGTTGATGGCCTTCAACGACCTGAGGGTGTCCCTAAAGGTCGAAGCCCTGCACCCATACAAACTAATCAACCCCAACCCCAACCCCATACTCCTACCCCTACTCCCGCGCCTGCTTTAAAATGGGAGCCTCCATATCAGCCTCCCCACCAGTCTTCTCCTCAACCTCTATTTCCACCTTCTTATCAACCGCCGCCGCCGCCACTACAACATCAGCCGACTCACCAGACTCCTGTTCCGTCTCCTCGACCCCCTTACAATACGGGAGTTACCAGGCCTCCAACATATCCTCAGACCCCAACCAGCCTTCCTCAGTTACCTCAGAATTATGCAGGCGGTAGGCAGACTCCGGGACAGTACGGCCAAGCGCACCGACCCTCAACGCAAGGATCTGCGCCAGCATCTCCCTCGGTGCTTTTGCCGCCGCAAAGTGCGGGCCAGATACCACCATCTCTTCAATCACTACCTTTAAACGCAACTCCAGACGGCGCAGGGCAACAAGTACCGCAGCGGCGTCCAGCTTCGATCCCTACAGTAAGCTCGCCGGGCCCCAATATAGGACCCGGTCCTTTCGCCCAGCATCAAAGTTCGCACGTGCCGACTCAAACACCTGTTCGACCACCTGCTGCATTATCGGAGCCACACCCAGCTGTAAGCCCCCCCAAACCTCCCGTGCCGCCAACACAATGGTCTCCAGCACCCGGTCCGGCCCGGCCTTCATATCCTCCGCAGACTCCCGTCCAAGCACCACCAGCGCCGCCGACATCTCAACAGGACCAATCAGCTTCGAAATCATATAGCTCGCCATATAATCAACAAGCCCAGCTAGCTCAGCAAGCCGGCACTATTGATTCTACTCAACGTCCACAAGTACCTCCACTACAGACCCCGGCGGCGGTACCTCAGCCTACGCGTCCACTGTCGGCGAATCAAGCGCATACACCAGTAGCAGTTTCTCCTCATATTATAAGGGGACATGGAACCAAGTGGACATCAACCCCCACGCCTGCAACACCACGTGTAGATGAGGTGACCGGTTATTTTGATATCCAAAGTCCCGTCTACGAGCCAATTAGCCCACGTCCTCAGTCGGCCCAGTTGCCGAAGACTTCTCCTGAACAGAATGGGAAAAAGGATATACGGAAGGTTCTACAAAAGCCCGATGTAACGCCCAATCGGCCTAGAGGTCGACCACGTTCCACGCAGAAAACCCATTTAACACAATCAGAGGAGGCCCCAGCGGACACAGATCTCTCGGGAAGTAATATTAAGAACGAAGAGGCAACACCTCAGGCCCTTGAGGATATTGGACACGCAACTACAGCAGATGAAAGTGTTGCTACCAAGGATCAGCCCGGCCCAAGCCAGCTGTCTAACAAACGGAAACGTCAAGAGAGTCCTCCGAATCGGGCTCCGCCAACACCAGCCACGCACGTTTTATGGACACGTTCGTTCAATAAGATTAGCCAATCTGCATTGGATCAAATTATCAGTCATCGCCATGCCAACATGTTTGCACATCCTGTAAAACCAAAGACGGCGCCAGGGTATTTCGAAATTGTGCTCCGGCCGCAAGATCTTAAAGGCATTCAGAAGGCAATTACTGCAGGATCTAAAGCGGCATCGATAGCTGTGGCAACAATGCCTGATATTGATCCAAGTGCAACAAACGTCTGGCTTCCGATGTCAGTAGATCTAGTCCCACCGCGAGGCATAATAAATATCGCGCAGCTAGAGAGAGAGTTGGTTCACATGTTTGCGAATGCTATTATGTACAACCCGGACCCCTATCGTGGATTCGGGCCTTCTTTCCTGAAATCGAATCGACGGGCTAGTCTAGAAGGCGACGGGGAAGACTACCGAGGCTACGAAGTAGATGAGAATGGGGTTGTAAAAGATACTCGCAGTATGTTTGGTGAAGTTGAGAAGTTATTAAGCGACCTCCGCAATGAGGTAGAGCGAAATGCGCCTCCGCCGACGGGCGTGCCACCATCTGCAAGCCGTAGTATGAGCGTAGCTGGTGGGGAGATGAACGCAACTGAGGATGATGCAGATGAGCAAGCAGGGGATACTAGTAAAAGGCGAAGAATTAGGGGCTAGTAGTAGCCTTATAGCAAGTCTAATGCTGGTCTAAGTGAGATTAGCAATCTAGCTAATCGCCCATCCTTAAAGGGCGAGTCCGCTTCAATGTAAATATGTGCCAAGGTCAAGATTCAATTATGACTTTGGTTATGGACAAAACCATTTTAAGAAGCTTTTGGAATCTGACGTATGTGCATATTTGAATATTTAGGTACCTTATATATATTAGTACCTAGGTATATACCTACCTCCCTATGAAGTACACGTATCGAATTATGTACATAGGGGGGCTGTAGGTAACACGCGCCAAATTGTTGCCCCACATATGCGCGCACTTTTAAGAAGGCACATTACCTAATACCCAAAGTACCTAACCTGATGTTCTTATGTACATTATGTACCTAAGTTGAGCAATGACGACCATCGTTTTGATATGAGAAATACAAATCCTAATGGAACTATACATACCTATTACCTAAATGCAGTGAAGATACATACATGTACCAGACACTCACATCTTCCATTACTAAGGTTCCTTTTTAATAAGAGCTCACATAGCACTAGTTCCGGCTTTGTGTTATACATCTCTTTTTTTTGGAGGTACCTCAAATACTACTTATCTCGAGTCTCACGAGTCGCGTCAAAACGCGTCGTCAACTGACTAAACTATGGTGCCTCGGAGAGTAATTGCCGACTCTGACGACGAAGATGGAGATGACAATCCACTAAGTCCTCTAAGAGAAGATGAAGGAATTGATCCCCCAGAGGTAGAACAATTGAGCCCACATCACAGGCCGTCAAGCCCTGATGTACTAGACAGCCGCAATCATATATCTGATACTACGGACCAATCCTTCTTTGCCAGTGTTTATGATGAGCAGCAAAACAGGGCTCTTCACCAATCTCATCTCATCGAGAATATAGTCCGTCAAAGTCAGCAGGCGAGCAGAAGTAGTGGGGAGATCTCGCTTCCGGTGAAGGAGAAAGGCAAAAAGGCCGATGCTTCTTCGGCCACGAATGTCACCTCACCAGTAGTCTTGGACAAGCCTAGGAACGAGCCATTACTCTCCAGCGACGGTGCTTCCGGTATAACCACTCCACGAAAGAGCGCATCTGGAGAATGGGATGTGCCCAGTAGTGCAGAAGACGCAATGGTTTCAAGGACTACTAAGAGTTTGAAAGGAAAGAATGAGAAGTCGTATGGCAAGCGAAAAAGAAGCCAATCAAAAGCAACGAAGAATTCTGCAGCAGCAGAAATATTCATGGGATATGACAATGAACTTGAAGAGACAGCCCAAGACACGGCTTTGCACAATGAGATGCTTGCCCCAAGTCATGGAGCTGGGCCATCACAACAGCCCGTATTCAAACAGAATGAAGTCTCACTCAATGACTCTGTGATCCGGGATACGGCGCCTATAGCGAATTTTTATATTGCTCAGAGCAACCTCACTACCATGCAGAAACTGGAATATGAGAAGGTTAATGCGTCACAAAACGGATACCCCAGTCTCCCCGGTCCTCTTACTAACATAAAGTCAAGCGGCATGTCGACGGTTGCATATCCAACACCTAGCCGATATGCATCTTCTTCCGGGCCACCGCTTCCGTGGGAAAGAGATTCTGCTGCTGATGTCGAACCAGATGAAAGCGTTGATTCCATAAATGCAAGTATACTCAGACATCTAAAAATCCTCAGCTTATCTAATGATTCTATAGATAATGTCTTCCCCAGATGTCATTGCAGCTGGCCATGATTATACGGAGGAAAACCCGGCAGAAGCAGTACTTGTGGATACACAGGTAGCATACGATGAGGTCGAACCTGCAATCGGAGATACTACCCCAAGGAGCCTATATAGCAAGAGAAAAAAGAGGGCAAGAAGCATACAAGATGAAGACGAAGATGAATTACAAGATGGACCTTGGGACTATGAGGCTGTTGATCGGCACCAAGACAAACACAAACGGAGGCGTAATGAGCCAAAATCAACCCCACCTAATTCACATGGAGACGATGCTATCGAGCTTCTTCCAAATCCAAACGAAGGAATGCTTCGGGAACAAGACTACCAGGACTTACCCAGGAAAGAAACACATGAGACCGGTGATGCTGCCCCTGATATACCTCCGACAGCGCCTCCGCCTGTTTCTTTCAATGCGCCTGAACATAACCTGCCAGAGACTCAGCCAAACCCCCAACCAAAGAAGCGTGGGCGCAAGAAAAAACAGGCTGTGAAAGAACAGACCCTTCAAGAAGAGCTGCCCGTCGAAAATCAGGCTGCCGCTCAAGAGGCACCCCTTGCTGTTAAAGACCCCGAGGTAGAAATTGAGCCAGAGAAGCCTAAGAAGAAAAGAGGCCGCCCTCGAAAGTCAGACTTGGCAAAGCCCGAAACAGCGCCGGCTCCTGAACATCAATCCCACGCTACGTATAAGGCCCATGAGGACGACGCTCAGCACGACGAGATCACTTCGGAGAAGACTGAAGCGACCGAGAAGCTAAAGCTCAAAAAGAAACAAAAAGCCCGAAGCGAAGCAAAAGAAAAGGAGGAGATAGAGGATTCAACCACAGATAAGGACGACGTTAAAGACCCGTTGAAAGAAATTAACAGTAACTCCAGACCATCTGAAGAACCAGTATCGGCCGAGGGAGTGCCTGCGAAACCCACCCCCAAACAGTTAGCCGACCAGCACAAGTCTAATGAGAAAGGAAGCACGGTCCCTAAGCCCACATCCACATCTTCGCAACAACCCAAGGTACAGTATCGAGTTGGCTTAAGCAAACGAACACGGATAGCTTCGCTACTGAAAATTATCAAGAAATAGACCCAACTTGACAAAGTCTATGTTGTGGTAATCAGTACAGTCATCCTTTAATGATGCCAAAGAATGAATTGCTTGGCTCTATAGCAAAATGAATTTCCAGACGATTCAGTACCAAGAGAGAAATGGAAATGAATATTATGAAAACTACCGCTTAACTTCCATTTTGTTGGAGCATCAACCAAGCGCGAAAATAGGTCGGACATGACTATGGAAGTATAAGAAGCGAGATGGTAGTTGAAGGTTGTCATACCTCTTAAACGTGTAGATAGGTATACAACAGATAATTAAGTCCCTATATCTATATGATCCCTTGATCTAATAGTGCTCATGGAAGAGCTCGGTTCTCTTATACTAATATTACCTCGGATTTGTAGATACCGGGCCTTTTACAAAATGGCTTAGGGCAACTTGGCATGGGGTTAAATGGTGAGGGTATAATAGGATTTATTATTGCGTAGAGGGATTTGTTTTAAGTGACCAATATATGCATCTCTAAAAGCTAGGATAGCCAACCCGATAGCATATCTCATATCAGCTACCTAGGAGGTAGGTATAAGAATACATTCGTGCTTTCTAAATACGACAAGCTACCAACACCAATCAGAGTGCAGCTATTGTTTGCTGTTGTAGGAGAGCAGTCTTCCAGGCCTCTAATTCCCGTCCGCAAGACTACCAGTCTTATGTACTAGGGTGGGTTGACGAAAGGGAGACATTTCACAATATTCTGTCCCCCGATCCATCTTGGGTATATACCACTTTACCCGTGGCGTATTTTTTTCTTCCCTTTTTTTTTTTGTCCTCTAGCGCGACCCGAGCGGTTGGGCCTACAAACCAGTATTCCCAGGTGCCTTTTTCTAGAGTATAATCTCCCCCAGGTTCTCGCCCTCGAATCCCAGCGTAGCCAGCTTCTGTAACTTCTTCTTCTCTTTCGTCTTTTCCACCGCTCTCCGCTCTTTCGCCAACTTCTCTACCGCAGCAAACTCGGCCCGCTCGAAGCCCGGGGGCGGGTCGTCGTCTTTATCGAGGTCGATCTCGCCGAGGAGGAGCACGTTCTCGCCGCGGACGAGGAAGATGCCGTGGGCCTGTTCGGCGTATAGGCCTTTTGGCTGCGGGTCCGAGGGGTCGGATGTGATGGCGTATATGCGCTCGACTGTGGACTGGAGAACCAAGTTTGCTGAGAACGGACACAGACATTAGTTATAACCAGAGATAAGAATGAGATTGGGGAATTCGTACCAAACTGGTCCCAGCTTCGTAGAACGCCATTGAGTTTCCGCCCATCTCGTAGACACACCAAAAGCTTTTCTATACCTGGTGGTTAACAAAGGTCCTAAGACGGCGCTCATCTCGCCGCATCGATTGCCTTACTATCGGTGAGGTCTAGTAGCTGCGCAGCAGTGGTGAACATCTGTGGGGGAAGCTGTTGCGGTTGGGGGGTAGCAGCAGCAGCAGCAGTGGTAGCAGCAGTTGATGCTGCTGCTGCCGCGCGACCCAGCGCCGAGCCGCCTGGTTGAGGTGGAGGATCGTGAATGGATAGGTTCTCCATCATATCATTTGGTTGGTTTTGTTGTTGTTATTTGAGGCAATGGTGCTGGAGCTATACCGATCCATAGAGAAGAGAGGAGATCATTCGGAAAATAAGTGTATGTACCGATGTCAGGCGCAATTTGCACTTAGCTGACGTCGTCTCTTTCATATGTCTCTTTCATATGCTGCCCACGCATAGGAAACCAAGGAAACCAAGGAAACCACGTTATTAGTCGGGTTGGATTTTGGCGGGGCAGAACAATGGGAGAAACGTTGATGCGTTAGGGTGCTTATATAATAATACTATGGTCCAATCACAATAAGTCGAGCATTGTGAGTAGATTATAACTAGGTATACTGTATTAGCAAGTAAGTTTTGGTATGCACTACACTGTGTGACTTGACATTCTAGAAACTCATCACAGCTAAAGCACTTGCATATCTAGTTCGAGATGGGGAAGACAGGGGACCGACTCCAAGTATATTGATGTAAATTGTTAGTAGCGCTAGCTATCGTACATTGATTAAGGGAGCGGGCAAGATTGAAGATATTCTCTAGGTTCTTTGAATGAAAGGTAAATGTTTGAAAATACTTAAGTAGCCTGTGTAAGAGAGAAACGGCCAGTGAGATGACAGGCAATTGTCATCATATACTATGTATGTAACAAAACCCGCTAAGAAGCTGCTTACCAGCTCGCATTCGCGATTACCTATGTACCTACATAGATACCTACCTAACCTTATTACCTTGGCGGGTATTACCGGATCTGGGAAGACGGGCCTAGGCTAGACAAGGGTGATCCACCTCTGCTGTTGCCGAACATCCTTGCTTGCGCATGTGACGGCTAGTGCTAAGCCGTACTTTGGCCTTCGCTGTTTCCCTTTTCCTGCGGGACGGGACCATCCTTTGGCCTTTGGCGTAGCTTCGTGTTCCACGGATCTGACGAAACTTATCTTTGGATTTTCTGGGGTTACATGTTAACTGATACACACACTACTCTAACCTGCTTTAAAGTCTTTTCGAACTTCCTTCCTTTTAGATGTCCCGGATAGTTTAGACGGAATTGAATATTTTGGCAATTGAGCCCTGAGCCCGTTTTGGTTGCAATACGTCGACACCATGCCGGGTTCTTCGAGAATGCCTGTTAGCTTGCGCGAGAGCTTCGATAGCGTGAAGAAGCGATCTCGGACGATTGATCCTCGGCAAGTTTTCAATGTCGAGATGTAAGTGTTTAGCATTTTTGACACCATTTCAATAGTATCATAAAGTGCACATAAAGTGCTACTTACTATAAAGTACATAAGAAAACAGAAAACTAACCATCCCGTTCCTGTGTAGACTCAAGAACATTATTTTCTTTTTCTTCGTACTGCGCATAGTCCGCCGAACGTTTTGGAAGCTGAAGGGCCGTGGCATCTTCGGTACCATAGCAGAATTATACTACGATGTACGACGTGTATTATACGGTTATTTCCTACGCGCCCCGGGAGTTCGGACCCAAGTGCGGAAACAGATTACCGAATCGTTAGCAAAGATACAGGCAAAGATGATACCTACCGACAGTACGCGATACACAACATTGCCGAAGGAGGGCTGGACGGACGACGCCCTACGAGCCGAGCTCGACACGTTGGCAAATATGGAACATACCAGGTGGGAAGATGGCTATGTGTCGGGTGCCGTGTACCATGGCGAGGAGGATTTATTGAAATTGCAAACCGAGGCCTTTGGAAAGTTTACAGTTGCGAATCCGATACATCCGGATGTCTTCCCCGGAGTGCGAAAGATGGAAGCCGAGGTTGTTGCAATGGTTCTCTCTATGTTCCATGCCCCGCCTAGCGCCGCCGGAGTATGCACCAGTGGCGGTACCGAGAGTATCTTGATGGCATGCTATGGTGCGCGGCAGAAGGCATATGCGGAACGTGGTGTAACGGAACCTGAGATGTAAGTCTACGTATTATTATATTACATGAGGTGGTCTATACTTCGGAATTACTGTACTGACTTGATGGGTTATAGGATCCTCCCGGAGACGGCACATACGGCCTTCCGGAAAGCCGGCGGTTACTTCAAAATCAAGATTCACTATGTACCTTGCCCTGCCCCGACATACCAGGTCGATGTTCACCGTGTATCTCGCCTTATTAATTCTAACACCATCATCCTTGTCGGTTCTGCACCCAACTTCCCTCATGGTATCATGGACGATATCCCGGCTCTATCCAAATTAGCCCTGAAGCGCCGTTTACCCCTACACGTAGACTGCTGCCTAGGTTCGTTCCTGGTCCCTTTCCTCGACAAGGCCGGCTTTGAGACGGAACTTTTCGACTTCCGCCTCAAGGGCGTCACTTCTATCTCCTGCGACACGCACAAGTACGGCTTCGCGCCTAAGGGCAGCTCCACTGTCCTCTACCGCACCCATGAATTACGCACGTACCAATACTTCGTCTCCCCCGACTGGTCCGGCGGCGTGTACGCTTCCCCCGGAATTGCGGGTTCTCGCCCCGGTGCCCTTATCGCCGGATGCTGGACCAGCATGATGCGAGTCGGTGAGGCCGGATACATCGACTCGTGCGTCAAGATCGTCGGATGTGCCAAGAAGATCGCTGAACACGTAGCATCGTCCCCCACCCTCGGCGTGGAGCTCGAGGTGCTCGGCCGCCCCCTCGTCTCCGTCGTCGCCTTCTCCGCTCGTAACCTCAACATTTACGACATCGCCGACGGCATGAACGCCAAGGGCTGGCATCTCAACGCCCTGCAGAACCCGCCCGCTATGCACGTCGCCGTCACCATTCCCATCGTCAAGGTTTGGGAGCGCCTTGTCGCCGATCTCGAGGCTGTCATCGAGGATGAGCGCGAGAAGGAGCGTGTTCGTGCTGTTGAGGGTAAGGCCCTGAAGGGCAAGGCCACGGGCGATACTGCGGCCCTCTACGGTGTCGCAGGTAGCTTGCCGAATAAAGCCGTTGTTGTGGATTTGGCGACGGGGTTCATAGATTTAATGTACAAGGCGTAATAAGATTAAGATGAATTGTTCTCTCCTCTTATGCTAGAATTCGAAGGGGGGGTAGATCGTGCTATGATAGTATGTACTATGTATTATAGCGGACGGAGCGACTCTGCAGCGACTGGGCATATAATAGGACAGGCAGTGTACGTTAGGAAAAGGGGAAAGCAGGCCGGTCATCGAGCGGGTGGTCGGGTTCCATTATTGGTTCCATTATTGGACTTCTAATGGCTGTACATATATATATTTGGCAACGGGTCAACGAGTATAGGAGAAGGGTAAATCCTACGAAAGAGGCCGTGAAAAGGTCGAGTTTTCAAAGAAAAGGGGTTCCTACCGTACCTACACTATGCACATATACATACATAGGATAGGTATGTGTATATTTCGTCGCGAGACATAGCGAGTGAGTGGATAGTATAAAAACAACAAAGTCTTCAATCAATGCTGTTACTTATTTATGTACATTGCAGAAAGCTGCTCTCCGAAATGACCCTGTTCATGCTTTTTATACACACCATGCCTTGATGCAGAGTAGTCGTATCATTCCAGCCACCTTTCTCCCACATCCATAGTCCCGCCCTGCGCCTTTCGGAAGTAAAAGCACCGGAAAGGCGGGATGAAAAAAGGAAGACCGAAAATATAAGAGAAGAAAGCGCCGTGCCCCAAAACCTATTTAATTTTTGCCTATTATTGTGTCCCCTGATTTGACCTTTTAATCTCCCTTCTTACCTCATATCTTTCTCGGCGAGCACACGCATCGATCCGAGATCGGGGGTTTTAAGCCATACAAATATATGATCATAGCTCTGCTTTCTCATCATCCATGTGAGAAAAGCGGCCGCCTTCCTGGCTGATCATAGATTCCGCGTCACCGACCTGCTTACGCTCCGAGACCTCGAAAATTTTGAGCCGTTTCTGCATCGTTCTCCTGTGCGGCAATGTCAATCCTTGGGACGATGTCCACTCCCTCATGACTGCTGGTTGCTATTGCAGAGGCTCCGAAGAGCTCGACAAGCGGTTGAGGTGTAGATACACATCCGTTCCATACCTAAATTCCGAATTAGTCTCATGGCGATGAGGTAAACCCATGATATCAAATCGACGTACCCTTCCATGCTAATCAGTTTCAAATCGCCACCAAAATACCGAGCATAAAGCCTCGAGATCGGCAGTCCGTAGCCGAAGCCCGCCATCGGTGCCTTGAAATCGCTCTTATCAAAATCAGGGTCCAAGTTAGGGGTCCGGTCTACAGTCGTGTACATGTACGTCCACACTAATGGGATGGCGCTTCGTGGGATTCCGCCACCTTCGTCGCTTATCTTGATCGTGATATCTTCCCTTCCTTCCGCAACGATGACCTTCGTTACTGGAAACTCCTGCTTGTCTTGCCCGTGCGTCTCGACAACGGCTCTTAACGAGTTTTTCAATGTCTCGAAGAGCATATGCGATAAGTGACCGGGAACGTACATAAAGTTGAGATCGGGGTTACAGACAAGTTGGATCTTGGGTGCTTCGAAAAGTCCGTAGTGATCCTCGCATACAAACCGAGCATTCTCGATAGCCTCTTGCGCCAAATCCCGCACGTTCGTCTTGGTGCAGATAATACCAACATAAGTAGGGTCCCGATGATGGCTCTGATCCGTCAAGGCGATATGCTGGCCGATAAGCATGCGAATACCTATTCGAGACATGTAGAAACGGTCTAAAAAGGACTGTATGTTGTTGTCAATTTGCATCCGTTGTCTCTTTCGCTTGTATTCAAGGATGCCCTGTGCCATGGTTGTGACAACGCCGTCATGCCGTCTCTTGATCTTGTGTAATGTCTGTGCAAATTTGGAGTTGTACGCCTGTAACTCGGGTGGCCAATCGCCGTTGTCGTCTACCATAGCGAAATATCTTCTTGCTGCTTGGTACTTCTTGCTGTTTCCTAGGCCAATTTGCGTCGGCGGCGCTGAGGCATACTGGCCTTCGCGAATGCTCGGGTTTGGAGTAGCTTCCGAGAGCAGAGATCCTCTGCCGTTGCTGAATTTGCCCGGGTTCAAGAGTCGATCCCGCACGTCTTTTGGCAGTTCGGGCCGTCCGAGATTGATGATCTCCTATTATCGCATATCAGATGACTCACGCTCATGACCATCGCAGGTAAGTCAAGGGGACATACCTCAAACGACTGCGCGTACCAATCCTGGACTCTCTTGACCGATGGCATATCACTAAGTCCATCGGGTAGGCTCGTGAGCTCCTGAACTCGGTGCGCAAGACGGATTGGGAGCTCTTCGGCGAGGAATTGAGAGGCGCGAAACAGAGTTCCTAGGCGATGATTATTGAGTCAGCAACTTGCATTTGTAATTATGACGACAAAAGAAGTAAAAGCAGCATACCGATTGAGGGTCTCTCGCCAAACTGGACCATCTGCCTTAAACTCACGCCCGTAGCAGGAAAGAGGGAGTAATGGCGGATGGTGTCCATTAGCCTCTCAGAAGCCTTCCACGACATGATGGGCGAGTTCGTCTAATCAGCGAGGGCTCGGTGGTAGACTTGTCGGACCTGAAGATGTGTAAGATCTCAGGTAGGAAAGAGGAGTTCAGGCCATGAGACTCGAGACTCGAATTGGAAAATGTGGAAGTTTGAAGTATGAGCAATAGCACGAGACTTAGATCGGAGGGACGCCCCGCGGGAATTAAGATGATGCTTGATAGCAACGGATAGCAGGGTCCTATCTGTAAAAGTGCCGAGGCTCTAAAAGAACAAGGAGCTTAAAAGTCCAGTCGCTGCACTCAACAACGTAAAACGTGCGACTTTTATGACTAGTTAGTTATAGTTATGAACAAAAGCAAGCGACTAAGAAGGACAACGACAGCGACGGAGACGACAATAAGTCATCATCGGGTTGAACAGTACTATCTCAAATACTGACATTGGAAAAGTCGAAATCACAAGACCTTGTGAAATGGGCGAGTTGAAAATTTGGAGAATAAGATCCGGTCATTGTCTGTAAGAGTTTCGAAAGCCGTTATTGGTCCATTGTCTGTGGGGGCGCGGAGACATGGGAAGAAGTTGCACAGCTTTCGCCAGCTGCTTCCCCAGTAACACTCTGAATACTTTACCGAAACCATGCGAGTACAGCCGAGAAGGAAACTCTTTTGACGGGCAGTTGCCGGTCTGACAACGAGCTGTATCTATCACACAATGTAGGTAGTTCTTTCTTCCCCTCCCCCCAGATTTCCACATACCTAGGTAGGTACCTATGTACCTAACGTCCATACATGCAAAGCCGGCACCTTTCCAATCAAGATGGGCTTATTAAAAGTCTCGCATAAGAAACACCTCCGAGTTTTAAACGCCTTATTATGTGCCTTATTATGTGCCTTATTATGTGCTTGCCAATGCGGGTACCCCGCCAAATATAGCCTTATTAGTTCTTCACCCCCCTTAACTATGTACTAACCTAGGCCCTTAACTAACCTACTAGGTTACCTCCTTGAAGGTTGATTCTGAGCTACCTATGCTATTTACAACTGTTTCGAGATTATTCCATTTTTAGTGTAAGAATATCGCGTAACTACCAAACATTATTACCAAACATTATCTATCTTGGATCCAACATTGGATGCTTCCATATCGGAGTATACAATACACCCAAGGTCCGGTATGACTGCCTCGTGTGCAGTGAATGTAGGCGCATGTACTTCCAATAGCCGTTGTTGCCTTAGGCCTTCACAGAGGCCAGCTTTTATGGTGCACGGATCTAGGTTGCATCGAGCTGCATCTATGTATGTTTCCTAACCAAAGAATATGTCACATCGTTAGGCATCTCCCACCAGGCTCATCTATTGCTCCTATCCAAATACGGAAGTCCTTGGTCTAAGCTAGTTATCGAGGCTGAGGTTACGTTGATTTCAAATTTCAAGGTTGCCTTATGACGGACACAGACTCGGATGCAGAGCCCGATAGCACTCCGGCCACGCCGGCGTTGCAAACGCCGCCTAGGGGTGCCAAGTCAGAAGAGTATCATCACCCCTGGTCATTATACCATGCAGCCGCAACTCCTCAATCGTCGCCACCAGCCTCGCCGTCCTTACCATCCTTGCGTCTTCATTCCTTGGGCATGTCTCCGTTTTCCCCGGCGCGTCGCCAGTTTTCGTCACCCCTTATTAAATCGGCATCTGCTCTGCATCTAGCTGAGGCAGGCCGAGCTGGACGAGAATCCGTTGTACAAGACAGCAAAGATGTTCTCGTGCAGCGACTAAATGATCTTGCTGCTCAGCTGAGCAAACAGGATAATATCCAAGAGCACAATGTCAATACTCTCCATGCGAAAGTGGATGAGATGGAAAAGGCCCTATCCACGAGAGACTATCAGCCAAGTCGAAGATCTCTAAGGTCTAGACCTACCAGCCTGATACTCCAGGATAACAGAAGCGAGCGCGACTCCTTTTGGGGACCGCTAACGCCAGGGCACACGATGCCTAATATTTCGACCACGCCTTTGCCTGCATACGCATCTTCATCAACCCAAACTGAAGGAAGCCTTAATGCTCATGAGGTCGCTGTCGCTAAGGGGTCTCAGATGTCAGCAGCGCAGGCTAGTCGAATCGCCACGGAAGCACAAAATTTGTGTAAGGAACTAGAAGATGTCGTCTCGGGTCTACGCGCTCGGCAGGAGGAGACAGATGTAAGAGTGTTATTAGCCACCTGTATAAGTACATTCTGTCTGATACGTATGCAGCATATTCATGAACTGTTTATCACACGTGCGGAACGCGCCGCGCAGAGAATCATTCATCTCGAGAAGCGGGTTAAGGAGCTGTAAGTTTAGCCAAGCCGGCCATTACTCGAAGTTGTGACCGGTGCTGACAGACACGGGACAGCGAATGCGAGCGAAACGAAGGTGAGATGGAGATGCTCAGCCTGCAGATTCAGCTAAAGGCGATCGAGGTGCAGTGCTTAAGCTACGTGCCGAAAGATGCCGATGAAGAACTGCGAGAAAGCATATCTGCATGGAAAACAGAGTGGTCTGCCCTAAAGCGGAAAAGGGCCCGGAGAAAAGCTAGCGCAAGCGAAGATACCGGGACATTAGGAACTCCCACCAGGCAGCCGAGAAATACGGGGTTTCCATGCTGAATCAGTACCTGCTATAGGTATTTGTACATCATTGCCTGCTGGTGTCTGGCGGTCTAGGGATATTACTTAGAGGGGCAAACAACGGTGCCGATCATACGTATATTTCATCAGCTCGAGTTTGCCCAGCGGGCGCTCAGCATTGTATATATGTCAGTGTAACCAAGGCTGACTGAAAGAATTTACAAAACCAGACAGTCCTACCGAGCATATCGTCTGTGGATATGACTCAAGAAGTTGATGCTACACGGGAATTGGCATAGGTTATACAAGTTGCGCAGATCCATTTTCAGGTATAAAATGCGCAAACATAAACTCGGTAAGACAAGACGAGATGGCTTTAACCTATGTAGGTATCTACCTAGGTACTATCTACCTAATGTACATGTGACTTGCTTGCCTCGCCTAAGTTCGAATATTACGAATATGTATTGCCTACATACCTACAGGTACCTAAGTGTAGGCAAGCAGTACATGTATCACACACCACATGATCTATCGCATCGCCGACTTAATGGTTCAGCAGATTCGATGCGACTGGGGGGACACGCGAGACACGCGGGATCGCGGAATGCCGGCGAAATCATTTTCTGCATCTTAACCTGCCGATTGGATCATTGATACAACTATACATCGCATATTTTACCAAAATTCGCTCTAGCCGCTCTAGGCGCTTACTACAGTTTTAACCTAGGTATATCTCATTTTAGGTACCCAGGGTTAATAGTACGTTCAGTATAAACCATCCATCAGTTTGCGCACAATATTCAGAGGATGGTAAGCTTATTGAAAAAGTGCGGTCCGGATTACGTCATAGGTCACCATTTAGGGTCTAAGCCAATTACATGGTGTGTATACCCCAACTTTGGGCTTTCCTTTGTGTCGGGATGAAAAATAGGTACGTACAGGTTACAATTAGGTACATATTTACAGCAGATCTAGGTGGGGAATGATGCGTGCCATAGGTAGTGGGCAGCTGGGGAGCTGGGTAAGGTAGCTGCAAGGCTTTCGTGTAACATCCGATTATCGATTGCATAGTGTATAGTACCTACCTACCTCATATATACGTAGCTGGACGACTTGCAACTTAGAACTTACAACTCCCAGACCTATAACACATGCTAAAACTTGCATCTTCTACATTTAAAATGTCTTAGCTGGTTCTAGATGTCATATCAGCTCATGCGAGAGCTCCAAGTTACTTTCGGTATGTATGCAAAAAGCTTCATCCGGCATGACATAGGCATGTCAGCCGCCGCCGTATTGGCCATGTTCAAAGCTGATTCTCTTCACTTACATAGATGATGTGGTAGTACAATCTAAAATCTTTTTGGTTCCCGTTCCCGCGCAACGTAGCTTCAAAGGATTCTATCCTATCATGTTTTTAATATAACTAATCAAATTCCTAAACAGTAGGTATCCAGACTGTCAACCATCGCTATCCATGCCGTCGTAGGTAAATCGTACCAGCAAGCTCGGAACTACCGACGTCACCGCTCTCTCATGTTGCAACTAATGTCCTAGGACCTAGAGGGCTAATCGGTGAATTGTAACGGATAGAAGCTTGGGTATCCTTGGCAAAAAGCAAAAAGACCAGTAGTCGTCTTCCATTGGTTTACCCCAGGAATACTATACTCTAGCAAGTCTAGAGTCCGGAGTACCCCTGCTATGGCGAATAGAGCAGCACTACAAGATGACGTCGGCTCATCTTGGGGAATCCTCCAAAGACTCTTTGACCAACGAGGCTTGAGGTATAGTCTTTGTACTACACCACATCCCGTCCGTCATATACAACTCTCACGCGCTGATCGACAAGTCGTTTTTTCAAATGAAGGCTACCCACCCCCCTTGATAGAGTAGACTGAGTAGTCTTCTCGTTGTGTGACGAGTCAGGCGGTGTCAGAGCTCTTACTGTCTTGTCTAGTCGACTAATATAACTAGTCCCGTTCTCACTTATCGTTGCTCTTTTGTCCGTGTCCGTTTCAGTTTCAGTTTCTTCTGTGCCATTTCATCTAAGCTTATATTAGCACTGTATAGTCTTATAGGAGACGAAATAAGTAGACTGGAGATCAAAGGTGCCCTACAACACAGCTTCATAATCGAGTGATACTAAGACATGGCTTCCAATTCGGGAGATCCGCCCAAAGACGGCTCAATAGGGGAAAAGACTGAGAAGATCCGGCCTCGAAAAGGGTCAGGCTATTCAGACGCATCTCCATCCGAACTCGAACATCGGGAAACTAAAGACAATATACTAGATGAAGGGGAGAGACGACGTCTAGAAGCCACGGCTAGACTAGAGAATCCTCTTGCTGGCCTCTCTCCAACACAGCTAGCCCAGCGAGGTGAAGAGTTCTGTACGAAGCACGGCCTCACTGATGCAGACGATGTTCGTGCTTTCCGGCTCGGTGCTATGATCGCCGGCAACCTGAACAAGTACGACACCGTCGACGAGCTTACCGATCGTGAAAGAGAGGTGCTCGACAGGGAGATTACACACAAATGGTCAAACCCCACAATGCTCTATGCCGTCATCGTCATCTGCTCGCTCTGTGCCGCCGTTCAAGGTATGGATGAGACTGTAGTCAATGGTGCACAGTCCTTCTATAAGACGGAATTTGGGATAGGAGACCCCAACTCTCAGAGAGGTAGGCCATAAAGGCGTTGATACATATTCAATCCATGTACATACTAACCAATGCGTCCGAAAAGATTCGTGGCTGCTGGGCTTCGTCAACGGTAAGTCTACCCTTGTTAGCGAACACTTAAACAATAACTGACAACCCCTCAAGCCGCACCATACATATGCTGCGCCCTCGTCGGTTGCTGGCTCACGGAGCCAATGAATAAGGCTTTTGGACGCCGTGGCACTGTCTTCATTTCTTGTGCCGTATCAGCTTTAGCTTGTTTCTGGCAAGCCTTTACAAACACTTGGTGGCACATGTTCATCGCCCGTTTCGCTCTCGGGTTCGGTATTGGCCCAAAGTCGGCTACGACTCGTAAGTCGCCACCTTAGCTTTAGAACGGGATGAATATCAACGGCGCTAACCACCTGTAAGCCATCTTCGCTGCAGAGTGTTCTCCGCCGAAGCTTCGTGGTGCGTTGGTTATGCAGTGGCAGATGTGGACTGCTTTCGGTATCATGCTGGGATACGTAATGGATTTGGCATTCTTTGATGTTCCGGATCTATCTGGAATTATAGGTCTAAAATGGCGCCTTATGATGGGATCTGCCCTGATACCTGCTGTTATCGTCTGTGCCATCGTATACTTTACCCCTGAGGTAAGTAACATAAAACCCCCCCTGATTCAACAGCCACTAAACAAGTCTTATAGTCACCTCGGTGGTACCTTACCAAGAATCGACATGTCGATGCTTATAAGTCTATCTGCCAGCTACGCTACGAAAAGGTCCAGGCCGCGCGCGACCTTTTCTATATGGACACTCTCCTTCAGATCGAAAAAGAGACTATGCACATAGGCCAGAGCAAAATCAAGGAAATCCTTACCATCCGCCGAAACCGAAATGCCATGATAGCATCGGAGATTGTAATGTTTATGCAACAGTTCTGTGGTGTCAATGCCATTGCATACTATTCGACGGAAATTTTCATCGACAGTGGCTTCTCGGTTCAGTCTGCTCTCGTGGCTTCGCTTGGCTTTGGCATCGTCAACTTCTTGTTCGCCCTTCCTGCGTTTTACACCATCGATACATTTGGCCGGCGCAATCTACTCCTCACTACGTTCCCCGTAAGTTCATCTCTTTATAACTATCCACCCAATTCTTAGGATACCTACCTAGGCAGTAGCTAATTTTCTGATATAGCTGATGTCCCTCTTCCTGTTTTTCACGGGCTTTAGCTTTTGGATCCCAGAGAGCAGTACTGCGCACATTGGCTGTATTGCGTTAGGTATATACCTATTCGGCGTGGTTTACTCTCCAGGTGAAGGGGTAAGAGCAGCTCGGTATCATCTCCCGAAATTTAATTAATGCTAATTACTTCTCAGCCCGTCCCATTCACATACAGTGCAGAAGCGTACCCGTTATACATCCGTCCAATTGGAATGTCGCTTGCAACGGCGACGACGTGGCTCTTCAACTCGGTGATCTCTCTCACATGGCCGGCGTTGACTCAAGCCTGGACTCCTCAAGGTGCATTTTCATGGTATGCATCGTGGAACATTGTTGGCTTCTTCCTCGTGCTCTTCTTCCTCCCCGAGACTAAAGAGAAGACGCTCGAGGAGCTTGACGCCGTCTTCAACGTTCCGCTCCGTAGCCTCGTGCGTTACGGTGCAGATCAGTTCTTGTACTTCTGGGGCCACTATATCTTCCGCCGCAACATTGCGCCACCTAAGGTCCCATCCGCGACCCAGACGATCGAGTACACGAGACAACAATTCTCCGAGGAGAAGACACACGATGCAACTGCTCGCGTCTAAACGGCTTGTATTTCGGCCTCAAGGGTTTATTATCCATTCTTATTTGCTTTACAAAGAGTACGATGCTATGTCACCTTTCTAGCAAGTTGACTAGCAATGGACGCAATTTAGGGGCGACGAAAACTACTTAGGTAACGATTACTTTTCGCGGGAATGTCTCTCATTAACAACTTTTGGATACCCATTTTGAGAACTACACATTGAATTAAATAAGTAAATATGTCGGCAGCGATGAACGACTTAGGCATATAAGGCTATTACTTTACTACAACTAAGTTTGGTCATAAAAAAGTAATGAAACTAGCTGAGTGAATTGCGTGTTCGGTAGAGCAGCTTAGCAGTCAACTCGTATCCTAAGAAAGTAATAATCAGAGATCACCTTTCATCCTCGAGCTCCTTTCCTTTTAATAAATATGGACTTAGTTAAGATCACACCCTTATGGATAGCGAAAAACTAATCTCAAATTACACTGAGGGGAGAAAGAAGTTCGCATTGTTATAATGTTGCTTAGTTAGTTATTAGAAAACACGCACTGAAACAGAGTACATAATCAACTACCTTCGACGTCGTAGTTAGTACCCATTCACAACTATCTGTAACCTTGAAAACCTGTACTTATATGTACATAGCAATACGAGCTATTAGAACCGTGCAATTTGACCCCTGTATGTCGTAGTTGAGATTTGCTTAGTCGCTATCACTGTCGCTTTCGATTCGAAAATTGCTCGGGTCCGTCGGACGAGTCGCATAAGCCGGCGGCGCAAAGAATACTTTACGAGTGTCCTGTAGACTATCAGTTACTAGGTAGTATACACTATATATGACTTAGAAGCACTTACTACTTTGACCCATTTTTTACCCGGTTGCTTGTTCGGGACCGTGGGTGGCAATTTACTACCTTCCGCCGAATCCCCCTTCGTGGCATTTTCGTCAGCACCAGGGGCGAATGGGCTGTAGCCGTACAGCTGGAAAGGAAGTTCATCGGCAGGTGCGGTGGAGCCGGCTACCGATTGAGGCTTGCCGTTATCAGTGGAGTTCATGTTGGGGGCGGCAGGTGTAGCGGGACCCCTATGATCGGGACTGGCAGGTGGACTGTTGGAGTCGGTGGAGGAGTCGGTGTCCCGCTTCATCGTCATGGCCGAATGAACCACCGTGCTATCAACCTCACCAACCTCAACTCCGTTGATATGAGCCTGCTGGTAATCGGAAAGAACTCCGCTAGGTCTATTACCAACAGCGGAACCGGGAGACGTAATGGTAGGAGCCTCGGTTTGTACGCCCGTCGCCTGCGCCAGAATCTCGTGGGGGAGCAACTGAGAGTTCGGGGGACCATAGGGGGCCTCCTCCCCGTTGAAGTTGCATACCCACTGAGTACAAGGTATGCATTGCTGTGACGGTTAGTCAACAAGAATCGAGTATCAATAGGGCACCAAAACTTACTGCGTTGGGGTCATTACGCTGGGTCTTGCTAAAGTGATCCCTATGTTTCCACAGACCACAAGGACCATTGCACTTGATTTCTCGTGGTGCCAGTGTCAGTTGCACATGCTCTTTGCAAATGAGCCCAGCATTCTCCGGAGTGACGCCATCGCGACCCTTTATCTTCTGCCATTTCGAAATCTGGTTCCGAGAGAACTTGTCAAGGGCGAGCCACTCGCCGCCGACAGCACACATAAACCTAACCGCGGTATGAGTAAAATATATAAAATATCGCATCACCAAATACTTACGTCTGGGGAGTACCGTTGCCGTGTGCCATCTTTAGCGTTGTTCGGTAGTGCGACGATAAAATAGCGACAATAATCAGAATAGATATATCACCTACTATCACTCCTACTGTTTGGTATTATGTGTTAACAGAAGATGCGAACCGGGTGAAATATGGGTAGAGCGTATGAGAAGGATAGAATTTAAATATCAGATGCGCAAAAGGCAAATGTATTATAGCAAAGTTACCACCGAAGTCTTTAGAGATGAACAAGGGTAGGAGGGTTGAAAGCATGCTAACGTACCTTAGGATTCTATGCGTGGGAAAAGTAATCACTCGATTATTTGAGATGCTGAGTTGGGCAAGGTCGATTTAGGAGTGCCGAAGCAGAGTGAGAGGGGCAGAACAGAGATGTACCTGCTTCAGGTAACGAATGTTGAAGTGATTTCCAGTTGCGGACCTAGTAGGATGTAAGCAAAGATGGGTGACGCTTGCGGTAAGAGCGGGGAGAATATATTCGGCGGGCTGGTAGCAGGCAACAGTCAAACACATAAGGGAGAACTAATAGTTAAACGTCATGTCGTTCTGTGATAGGGATAAATAGAGATGTTGCTGGGGAGACGAGATGATATCGTCCTGGAAATATTCATGGAGTGAAAGAGGAAAGGCAAGATAGGTACCTAGGGTTATGATTGTATATCGTAGGACTAGGCGACTAGTAGATATAATATAAGGGCGATGCTTACCGTGATATCAGTTTTATCGGGTACCGTAGCGAGGTGAATTTGGTGAGTGTTGCTAACTAGATCGACGCCTGACTAGGTAGGCACTCGTGAGATAGTGGGTGGATGGGGAAATGGTGAGTGTGTATAGGATGGGGGAGATATTGAGGTGGAGGAAAGACTTAAGGTTTAGATTGAGAAGGAACCGCGAGGACTTTACATACCCAAAAGACAGCGCGCTTTATGGTAAGTACGTTATGTAGCAAGTATCGTGGGTCTAATGACTTCCAAAAGCGTCAATAGTGAAGTTGGGTAAGAGCCGACCCGAAAGAGCACTTTATAGAAGGCACCTACCCTCCACGTTGGCTTTTCCACATTTACATTAGGCACCTACATGTATGTACCTACCTACTTAGGTACCTACATATATCATAGGCATAAACATTAGTACGATCCACGTAGTTTCGTAAGCATGTGGTGGTTATAAGTTATACTTGCAAGTAGCGCGAGCCTTGTCGTAAATAGTATAATTCCGGTTTAGTTAGAAACCTCCTTTAGTAAACTTCTAAAAGTGCTACTCGAGTATTTGAATATACCTATCGTGACGAGAACTATATTTGTTCTACTCATAACTATAAAGGAGGAGGCCAATTATACATAACTATCCTCTTTGTATTTCATATGACTTAAAACCAGAGGTTATGAGAGAAAGTGCTCAAAGGCTGGGAAGTTTTTAAGATATAAACTGGTGCACCTATGTGGTGGTTTCAATATCCTGAATGACTTGCAAATGAAAATGCCATACTCTGCCTAGCCAGCTAATCTAAAATATACGGCTAACTTTATCTCTGGATATATATCTTATAGGAAACGCAAAATTATATAATATACATACCTAATGACCCTAGAGATTGAAGCGAGAAGTGATACTTATAAAGTATATATTAAATGTCATAAAAACGGTGACTTCTGGGATATTTTAAGTATAAGTAGGACACACGCTTTTATATTTTAATATATTTATAACACATGCAATACGAGTATAGAAGACACGAAACATACACGATATAAACCGGGAATTCCGATGACAAGTCATCGCAAAACGCAAGATGAGCGGAGCGGTTGGATCTGGTGAAATGGGTTTATCCCTCTTTCACACTATCGTATACCCTTTTCTGAGAAAATACGCCATCCGATAATATCCCGTGAAGATCACAGAGAGTATCCGGCTACTCGGTTGGAATATAATATGTCATATATTCCCATATGTGTATCCTCTCCTATGAGTGATAGGACACTACCACCCTCGAGAGCCCGCCCAAGGTATTACCGCGGTAACAGCTTGTCGGTGTCTTCCTTAGCGAAATGTTCCGGCCCCGTGGACTCTCCCGATAAAAGGATTGTACGCTCGACCATCCCTTTCCCACCCGAAAGCGTAACACCGATCATATGCTGTGCGTACCACGTAGATTTCTCCCGAACATCGATGCCTGAATAACAGGGATGATCCCATTCATGATGCTAATCTGTCGCCCGGCTTCTGCCAAGGACGGTAATGCTCTACTGTGACCACCCGTGAAGTGCGGAGACCCTTGGATGAAGGCTTTAGGCGTTCGATTAACATTATGGTTTCCACCCTTTTCTTAATAAAGTCTTGTAGATAATATAATATGGCATGTTTCTAAATTGTCTTTGTTTCTCTTGGTATATCTCTATTCCTATGAGCGGCAGGACTGTTCGAATTTCAGGTTAATAATGGCGGAACATCTCTCTTCGTACGACAAGATCAATCATCCGAATATCCATACTCGTAATTGGGAGGCCCAAAGTGTTCGTATAGTGGAGTCTAAGGATCCGGAAAACGGTGCGTCCCAACATAGGCCGCTTTCTTGCGGCCGCCCTCAAGTGCCCTTCAATAGCGATAACCGCCCATTCAACCTGAGAGGCCAATACAACTCGAAGAATCTAATACTAATGCCTACCGATTTCGTAGATGAGCGTAGGACAGAGGGAGATGAAGGTAAATCCGGCCTTCATAACTTCAATACAGACACTGATGATAAGCAGCCGAAGGATATCAGGTCGCTAAGCCTCATCAGGGGCAGTCAACTTCGAGTTCTTCAAACTCAATCACATCTTCTTCTATCGAAAGTACAAGCACGGCTAGTACGTCTGCTATCAGAACCCCACCAAGCCCAAAGAACACGGAAGTAGGAGACACATCACGGCCAGGGGTCCGTTTTTCTGACCGCGGTCCTCCTCGTACGTCTACCGGCCACCCTACGATCTATCGGCGGTCCAGCATCGGAGCTGGGGCGGCAGTAGAATGGGGCACCCTGTTTGACGAGAACGGGTACGCTACCACACGAAACAATCAGTTTCTTAGAGGACTAGCAAAATATATCGTATGCTATATATAAGAAGAGAGATGACACAATACTAGCGACTAATGCACCTAGGACCACAGATCGATGACTTGGCACCTAGTAGCAGCAGTCTTGTTATCACGCCCGAGAAGCTATGTGCTCTCTATTCGAGATACAGACTGAACCCGGAGACCTATCCTTTTATAGGTGAGCTTTAGTCAATCTGTTTAACAATATCCGAGTATTCTCGACTTGCGGGGTTTACACATGCGATTATAAGAGCTTTGCTGAAGTAGATGCACAGAAATCCTCAATTCCAGAGCCAGGGATGCCCATGATCGTCTCGCCGATTTCTTCACAGATCTGGACTGTCAGTACCATCTAGTGCAACCCGATTTCTACTCTCGGCCACGAGTCCCTGCTCTGACGCCCGCTGGGTTCGCCCAGTATTTTACCACCTGTATCCTTGCGCATCCTGATGAGGAATTCCGCCGTCTTGATAAGATTGTATCGGATGTTCAGCTCGTAGCTGATACCCCTGTCGATGGCGAGCCCGAAAGACTTCCTAGACAGTTATTCCGCAGTCAGTTTCCCGTGAGGCACGATCCCAAGTCTAAGAAGATCCTAACCGCTGCCATTGACGACTTGATATACGATCTTAGGCTGCAGGAGCCGTCTAGCCCGAGGTCCCCACTGGCAATTATGCCGCCGCCGCCGCCGTCGCCTGGTACCAAGGACCGAAGTATCGTCCCCGTAATCCGTCGTTATGTCATTCCCGAAGAGTACACAAGGAGAGACGAATACAAACTCGCCGCTAGTCCCGAGGCGAAACAACCCTGCCGACGATACCTACAGAGTATGAATGATGAAAAATCCGGTCGGGCTCCTATGGGTAACCGGGACCGTGAACCCTACTACGGGCGAGAGCGAAGCCATTACAACAAAGAATCCAGCGGTTACCGACCTGCCCCGTCCGGCGATGCTGGTAGTGTTATACTCTATTCCCCGAAAAGCGCGTATCAACGCGCGCGGAGTCCGCCGCCCAGGGGCCACCGGGCCTCAGCGCCGGACGTCAGCAGCGCATCCACGAGCTATTTCAGGCCCGCCGGGTACCTGCCGCAGCCGCCGCTGACTATCGCAGAGAGGCGCGAGTACGCAATGAGCCTCGTAAACCCAGACACGGCGGCTGAAAATGGCGCTCGAGAGGAGACTAGAAGACGCGAAAGCAGCGGCGGACGGATCGAGACGGAATCACCGCTAATAGAAGCCCCTGCCCAAGGGGGCGGTAATGAGGGTACGAGTAGTAAAGCGCTGGCTTCGAGTCCAACTACGGCTACGAATACATCTTCGACGGCGCTAGTCACCACCACGGCCCAGCGGCAGCACTCACGCCGCGATAGCAGCTGCAGTAAGAAAGGGATTACAGATTCGGCTACAGCATCATCGGAAGCAATGAGCACCGGAGAGAAGAAGCACCACCACGGCCATAGCCACAGTCATAGTCACAGCCATAGCCATGGACATCATCGGCGTCGTAGCGTGGCAGAAGACGATAAAGGGCCGACGTGGGAGGAAGCATTAAAGTCGCCGTCCTCTTCTCACCACCATCGCCATCACCATCATCACCATAAGACAGAGAGCAGTAGTAAAGGAGGGGGCAGAAGTCAGCATTCCCGCCGTCACTCTACTTATTGAATGTAGTTCTTTGGTCTTGCTTTATTTTGCTAGACCAAAAGGGGGGTGGGGGGAGGAAGAGTAAGATATGGAAAAGGAGGGAGCGTAACATATAAGATCAAGATCAGGTTGATTAAGGTGTACTTAATTTAGGTAGTCATTCGCTACATACCTAGGTAGGTAGTCAGGCGCGTTAGAGCTACCTGGGTATCTGTGTTGGGAGGTAGTTTTTTAAGTGGAAAGGGGGAGATTGATCCAAAATATGTTAATCCAGACGATATTACTGTTGACTTGAAATTTTCATTCCTAGCAATTCCTATTAAAACAGCTAACTACTCTAAACCAAAGAACCACGATTTCGCTATGCATGCCACACATAAATATACAACGGTTATAACGCGTATACTCAACTGCGACCGGCTTCTAAACTTGACTCACCTCTATACGGCGTACTAACTCGAGCTACTCCTACTATCCCATCATCCCACGAACGCACATGGTTTTCAACGTGTTGTAAATCGGACTTAGGTTCAGTGTGTGTTTCGTTATTATCATCCTGTTGCGGGTTCACGGTCTCATACTCGAGGGCTTTGATGAAGATATAGAAGCTAGATGCAAGTAGCGAGCCTAAGATGGGGCCAATCCAATAGATCCAGTGGTAGTCGTGGAAGGACTTTATGACGACGGCGGGGCCGAAGGAACGTGCCGGATTTACGCTTCCACCTGTATAGTAAACCCCCCTGTAAAAATGGTATGTTAATGTTGTTTCTATCAAGGGATTTGAAATGTTCTGAGATGGGCCGGGAGAAAGGTTAAGGAACAAGTGAAACGTACATAAGCTCTGCAATAAACAGCGACAACCCAATCCCGATAGGTGCGATAAAGGTCCCGCGATGCTTCTCAGCAGCTAGCATAAAAATGGTGAAGACAAGCTGGGCTGTGAGAAACATCTCGATGAACAAGCCCTGCACCGCCGTCGTTCCACCCCCTAGATTGGTGCCTACGTTGAGTGGACCGGGCGTGAGACCGGAGATGACAGCCGCAGCCGCAATACCACCTAGAAACTGACTGAAGATAACCAAAGGTCCTCGGACATAATCCACGGCACCGACAAGCATCATACCCATCGTCACGGCCGGGTTGAATAGACCGCCACTGATGCGGAAAAAGACCCAGGCATTGACGGCAAGGCTCATACCGAAGCATAGAGATATGTACAGCAACTTAGCTGGATCTGCGGCCGGGGTTCCCGGCAGGTTCGTGTTTACGGCATTGGTACCACCGAATGCGAACAAGAGGAACATGAAGGTCCCCGCAAACTCGCTCATTGTTGCAATGAGGTGGTTCTTGATACTGAGCGGCAATCGGTCGAGTGGAAATAGGCGATTAGATAGCTCCGACTCGCCATTGCTTTTCCAAGGCCGTCGAATACGCGTGTTGAACTCGGTATGCTCCATAGCGCTTGGGATACGGCGTGAGTAAGAATGCAACTGAGAGCAGCAAAATTAAGGGTTGAAATTAGTATCGACGTCCAGAAGGGTCTTGAACGTGTATGTAAGTAAGTAAGTTTGGAAGTAAACTGTAATATGATACTTGAGGGCAATGGGAATTTTATATAAACTACTTTTTGTTAAGATAGGACCGCTTGATATTGCCTCCTACGTAGCCCACCTCCAGAACTTACTGCGATGTGATAGTTTCCTTACCTATTAACACTACTCAACCTACGTCAGCAAGCTCCATTAATGGCAAAGGCCTTGGACTTGACTAGGGATCCGTCGGCATGCCGCACCTACTCCTTCACCTACTCCTTAGCTGTATACTCAAGTAGCTAGGCATAGCATCTCCTCTTCACCGATCCTTGAATCAGTAATACAGCTAGGTTGGAAATTGAAGCGTGTATGTGGATTGCGCATCGTAGTGCCCGTCCTATTCGGCCATGTTTGGACTCTTGGGTACCTGTAAGGGCCCGTGAATCTCTCGTCATCGCTTTATCTCTAGGTGGAATGGAACTTCGTCTGTTTGAACTGACTGACTGGGGTGGTGTTGAAAACTGCAGTCGAAATATCCAAGAAATCGTCACCTATGGGGTTAGTGTGAAGCGTGATTCAGAGTAGCCACACGGTTGGGTTGGTCCATGAATCGTATAAGGTGCCCATGACATCAATAGCACCGACGAATTCCTGACCCAAACACTACAGAATTCGGATGACAACATGTTTCGCGTCTCTCGACTAGAGCCGTAGGAGTTCCTTCGAATGTGGTGTCCTTGTACACTCGTCTCTTACATATTACCTACTTAGGTATCAAGATGAGGATATCTTATAAGACGCCATAACCATAATGCTCACGTTACTGGGCAGAGGAGACTGGATTATATTGGTAACGGGAACGGCCCGTGTTCCACAAACAGGCAGCCTGATCTCGGAGAGACATTCTAATGCAAAGCCACCATTGCTTTGCTTCGCATCTCGTAGCCACATGGGAGGTTCCATTGTAAGCGATTAGGCCGATGAGCAAAGAGAAAATTCCGCAGGCTGTCCGGACCCTCTATCAGGTGTGCCTGAACTTGGCGCAGAATAACCCGACAGCCAGACATGCAGAAATAAAAGCATAGAGGAAATAGATCGGCCGTCAAGGATGATAAAACACTGGCTCCACGATCTGAGGAGCTGAAAGCCCCTGGACTGATACCGCATTCGTGCTTCTAGAAGAAGGCGTCGAAGACCCGCCAACCCGCGAGCCTATCCTTGGGATCCGGGGCTATTATGCGCTTCGAAGGCGCGTTTTAAATTGAAATAGTTGGACGCTTGAAAGACGCACCTTGCAGCAATAAGCATAGATGATATTAAACATGCATCTGTCATCGACATCCCGTTCTCCACCTTGTTACCACCGATGCGCTCTGGCCGTTCTGAAGTTCGTGCGACACCGTAGGGACCATGCGGGCAATGATCTGTGGACCGTGGACTGTGGATAAGTAGGTGATCGCCAACCGTTTAATCCCTACGGCTTAAGCTTGAGCTTGAGCTTGAGCTTGAGCTTGAACTTGAACTTGAGGTATCCAAGTATCTACCCGTAATAGGTCACGATCTTTCATTGCAGTGTAGACCGTGCCATCTACTATGTACGAGCCATCATTTACCAAGACTCAATAAATAGCCGTGTTTACCGTCTTTCTCTTTGAAAAGATGGTCTGTTTTGGAAAGAAGTCTGCACGTCAACAATCAACAATACACACATGACATGACATCCGTTATGTTTACCGGCATTGCTGCATGATTTTGAATGGTCGAAACTACCTAAATGTTTTGTATTCATGTACACATACGCGTGAGAATCAAGTTTACGCGTTCCACCCTTGGCCTTTATCTATGCAATGGCAAGTGCGGCAATTTTCAGTTACGGTACCCAAATACAGCAACTACAGTCATACGCATGCAATTATGTGCATAAAGATGGAACCAGCACCTAATGCCCAATGTACATGAATGTAACTTAGTATTTAAGGTAACTACCTAGGTACCTATGTATATCAGGTACATATCACGCGTTCAATTCAATTCAATTCAATTCAATATTTGATTGAAATCAGGGGTTCCTCGTGGTCTGAAAAGGGTTTAGACCGTTTAATATACATAACGTGGTACCGAATATCCATTCATGCAAGTTTAGGGTCCAAACATTGCTCAAACCACATGTTAGGAAAAATACCTAGTTACCGTACAATAAGGAGTTCTGTGTAAATCGAGCTGGTTAAAGATGGAGAATCTGTCTTTAGGCGATCGATGAAAGTTCCCGATTCTTAGATATATGTGCTACTTATATAGATTTTCCAGTTCTGTCAAAATAATAAGCGGCAGTCTAAATCGCTACCTATATGTAGTATCTCTCACATGTACAAATGTACCTAAAGTTTTCTCCACATGGATGGTACCTATGGCTTTTTCCAACGGATGGTGCCTGTTTAGCCCGCGGTATGTCCCTTGCTCCGGACTTTGCCCAGAAAGGCTTAAGTTGATTGGTTCGTTTTCGTTTAATGCAGTTTAATGTGCGCCACGTTGCCCAATGGTGAGGAACGACTCCATTGGCAGGTCTAAACAGGCAGTAGTCCCTGCGTATCATGCATTGCTCTTAACTAGAATTGGAATTTCACATTCTCGGCCTCCCTTTTTAGTGTACATACCTACCTTAGGTAATGTATGAGGTATCTTAGCTCTACACTAAAAGATACACTATACTGCGTAATGTACTAACTGCCGTACATGTATTGTTGCATGTATGGATGCGGACGAATATTTCGCGAATGGTGGTTTAATTCAATTCAATTCAATTCAAAAGACGGTGTGACCAATTCGTTCTCGAGATGATCGAGAGACACTCAATCTTGTCAGCCTTTCTCTTTTTCCTCTTCGATCATCCCCGCTTGGAACCAGCTTCTTCCCCGACCCAGCAGTGGGCAGGCCTGGCAGTGGGATGGGATGCTTATGTACTTATTATCGCGCAACTCTCGGCCCCCCTTTTTCTATGGACCGCGGCCACGCAGGTACGGATCTTGATTACCTAAAGCACCCTGGAACTTAACTCGTGGTTTGAGTAACCTTGGTTGAATACATCATATCATACATATCATACATATCATACATATCATATACGAGTTCATGATTATTAAACACCTTACTCTATCATGCAGGATATTACTATGTACATCGTCTGCCACTTTTAGACACCGTTCTGTAGGTATGTACACTTGAGGCTTGAACAGATGGAAGGAATATTGTCTTATTCTGAGAAAGCCACAGATCGGTAAGGCGCAGCATACTCAAGCGGAAGCGAGTTATTTTTATTTTTTATTTTACGTGCCTAAGCACCTAATATAAGTAATATAGGTAGGACAATGAACAGGTATGACGAAACAGCCATTACTCTGCTTGTAGAAGGAAGACCTGCCGCCGTTCATATGCATCTGCTGTAGGTATTAACGAGAGATCGTAGATTGGGTACTTATCAGTACTTCTTGGTTTCACACCGAGCTTTGCCTCTAGAGTACGAGTACTTTAGATGATGCCCGTTAATCGGTCAATAGTATCATTCGCCAAAAAGAGGTTGGAGGTCACAGGTACGCGATAAACCCATGCTGTTCAAGTATTGCTTCGTAAGGTATTCAATAGAGTAGTACATATACATATGCTTACCTCGTAGCAGGTATTGTACATCTATGCTGAGTTGGCATTAATTGTAGTTACAGCAGGATGATTCCCAACCCACGCGTCTTTATTTATGTATCTGTATTCCCTATTAGGCAGCCCTTGTTTTTCCTGTGTAATGTCTACTATGTATAAATCAGCCATCTTGATAAGGTAGGTCACCTCAACTAAATGTCATACTTATCTCAGCGCTGCATGCGTGGTTATTATTATCCGGCTTCTCATCGTCTCTGGTGCTAAAGATGACAAGTATGGAGAATATTTGGGTAAAAGAGAGATTATTCACATGGGTATATCAATGATACGCGCAGGCGGCAGGATTAATGACCCATTGATCTAAGCTCTAAGCAGGGCTAGGTTTCGAATGATGATACGCTGCAGATTTCGTCTTATTGCACATTTCAATAGCCTTCACAGTGCGGCATGTCTTCGTTGCGTATGTGCTGAATAAATCCGATCTTGGTGGAATTTCCGCCCTGATAGTTCCCTTAGGTACGTCAACTAGGAAATGTTACCGGGCAGTGGAGATGGCTGGTGTTGTGTAAGAGTACAGTAAAAGTGGCCTATTATACACTATGTACAACGGTGTATCCGATTATGCAGTTAGGTCCATACCTACATAGGTACCTTAGGTACATATGTACAATACCTCCAGTGTAATAATGATTTCCGGAACGCGTATCGGTACCTAAAGGGTTCCTTTCAGGAAGCGCTAGCCGTCGGTAGACAAAAAGGTATACGAAAGGTACCTTCGCAGGAATCACAAAATGGAAGGCATAGCAATGTTGGGTATCAAAAAGGGAAAATAAGACCATAGCTAGCGTAATTAAACTAAAAAAAGGGGAATCCACCCGAATTGTAACTCACTAAAATTTTTCTCTCTTTTCATTTTCATACCCCTGGTCTTAGGCGTAAATTGCTAAGATTGGCTCGATTTTCTGGGTGACCCGACGTCTGGCCATACGTAGGTGAGTAGCGAAATTGGTGTCATTATGCTCCCCAGGGAACTTTATTCATGCTAAGCTGCTTAAGCTGCCCCAAGATCCCCTCCCCCCCTTCCCAGTTTCTAGCTTAGCGCATCAGAAGGTCCTGTCAGGTCCTGTCAAACACCTCTGAAATCACTTCAATCAATCAATCCGTCCATCTATTCGTCCACTCATTCGAGATCCCTTCCCATCCGGCCGTTCCAATTCGACCCCGTATCTCTTCTCCTCTCACTCTTTCTCCCTCACTCTCTTTTTTCAGTCTATGGTTTAACTTTCGCTCATACTCACATACAGAAAGGTGCATGTATGCGCGATAAGAAAGCCGGTCGATTAGTTTTCACTTTTAGTTTTTTCCTGCCCTTATTGAACTGTTGATTCCTCTCACTATTAGTTTTTTTCGGTTCGTTATTGCCTGGCGACGAGTTTCTAAGTCGACTTCACAAATACATTTTCGGAACAATCAGTTCAGCCAAAGAGATTAATCAA